AGAAATAACTCTGCACAGTTATAGCCTGATGAGTTTTGACAAAGACATCAAAAATGCATTGGAGAAAAGATAGTGTCTTCAACAGATGGTGCTAGGCAAACTAGGTGTGTACATATACAGGATTGTCTCTTGTCCTGCACTAATATCCATTCAAAGTGGGTCAGATATCTTAATGTAAGACCTGAAACTTTGAAACTACTAAGGAAAACACTGGAACATATAGATATAGGCAATAACTTCCTGAGTAGAACTGTAATAACTCAGCAAACAAAAGCAAGAATTGATAAGTAGGAATGCATCAAAGTTAAAAAAAAAAAAGAAAGAAACTTCTGCACAACAAAGGAAATAGGCAGTAGAATGAAAAGACAGTCTCTATAAAGGAAGAAAATCTTTACCAGCTTACATCTGACAAGGAACTAATAATAATATTCATGGAAAATATAAAAGAGCTAAGAAAAAGTGAACTAAACTCCCAAACAATCAACAACCTACTGATTTTGTAAGTGGGCAGATGAACTGATATATATATATATATATATATATATATATATATATAATCAATATTCCTAGTCCTAGGGGAAATCCAGGTCAAAATGACACTGAGATTTATCTCACTCCAGTCAGAAGGGCCATCAAGAACATAAAAAACCAACTGCGGGCAAGGATATAGGGAAAAAGGAACCCATATATATGGTTGGAAGGAATGTAAATTAGTTCAACCACTGGAAAACAAGGTGGCAGTTCCTTAAAAAATAAAAAATGGAGCTCCCCTATGATCTAGCAATACTATCTGGGGCATATAGCTGGAGTGGAGGTCTGAATACATTTTCCTTGCAGAACTTCAGACTAGCCAACCTAAGGAAACAGTCCCGTTGCCCTGCAGCTGGTAAATGGATTGAGAATATGCGGCATGCATACACAGTACAGTATTACTCATCCATAAGAAAGAATGAGATTACGACATTTGCTGGAAAAGAGATGGATGTGGAGATCATCATGTTAAGTAAGCCAGGTTTTGAAGGACAAAGGCTACATGTTTTTTCTCATATGCAGAATCTAGCCCTAAAAGATAAAATACACAAATATACATAGGTAGATGGGTACACACACACACACACACATACACACAATATAAGAGAACATGTGTGAAATATCACAGTGAAACTGCTTTGTATAATTAATATATACTACAGAAAATGTATCCCAGGAATGTGTAGCAGTTTCTGTTTTGAAATGAATAACAGTGGAAGAGGAAGAATAGGAGCAGGGTAAATATGATCAAATTATTATATATGCATGTATGAAGATAGAACAATAAAACTTGTTGAAATTGAAGAAAGTAATAGAAGGCAAGGGAGACTGGTATGGGCATAAATTTGATCAGGGTACATTATATATATATGTATATATGTATGTATGTATGTATGAAAATATAATGAAAATCCTTATACTATCAATAACTGCTGACTTAGTTCTCAGAGATACACCTCTTTTTGTACATTTGAGGAAAATCCCACCACTCATGTGAAAGACACAAGAAATTCTGGGTGTTAGTAATTATAGGGAGAGTAGGATGGGAATTATGTCTCCCCAACAAAAAATAACCAACACCATTTTATTCATTCAGAAAAATGGTGTAAGGTTTTCATATTTCAGAGGCAGAATACCTCTGAATGTCTCTCTAATGACCAGACAGGACCGTTCTATAACTTCAGCTCTCCTATTCCTGCTCACCAGCCCTCGGAGTTTTCTTAAAGATATGCTTTTTTCATCTGCCTTTTCCTTCACTTTTGCACTGTTTTCTGCCCTGGCAGAAATTACAAAAGGAGATCCTCAAATAAGCAGTTCTTGCCACAGGACTAGTTTTTTTGTGGCCCTGAAAGAGAGGGCTAAAGGATTAACTTCCAAATTCTCCCCACAAAGTATGTACCTTATAACAATATTCTAAAAACCGGAGAAATCCTCATTTTACACAATCGTAAAGAAATATTGAGACTCCCCTTCCCACCCCCATATTGAGAAGGCTTTATGGGAAACAAAATGGCTTATATACCATGAGTCTCTGGGAAGTGGACAAATTAGCTTGCTTTTCTAATTATATTGTCCTTTTCCACTGAGAACAGACATATTTCCTGATTTTGTTCCGGTGCCAAAGGACCTAGGACTTCATGCATGTTGGGCAAGCCCTCCCTCACCGAGTTACACTCACACACACACACACACACACACCTCCATCCTTGTGATTTCAGCTCTTAAATTCTCTGTCCTTTCTGCTTGTTTCCAGAGTTTTAATTTTCATGTTGATAGGCACTTAATAATGCCTGTTTTAGAGAATAGAGAGGTTGACCATAGTCCAAGTGAATTATGTTCTTTGTTGCCCTAGCTATCACAGATACCATCTGATAGGTCTCTGTCCTTTAGAACAGAAGCCAGCCTGTTATAAAGCTGGTGCCTCCCCATGGTACCAGTGGAATTCTAGTTGGGTGTGCCTCTGTTGGTCCTGATTAGCATAACTGTGGGTAGGGCATGGGTAGCTATCTGAATAAGAAAAAAAAATAGGGTCATTCTTTGTTCTACCCAACCATCTACATTTCATTGTGCCTTCCCCACACTGAGAAACTGTTCCTAATAATCCAAGCAAACATTTGCTGAGTGTTTGCTTTGTCCACTGTTGTGAGTACTTTCCAAATATTATCTATCTCATTTCACATGCATAAGAATTTCAGGTACTACATTATTATCCCTGGTTTAAGAATGAGGAAATAGAGGGATGGGAGGATACTTTATTTAATCTGCAAATATTTCCCATGGTGTGAGTTGCAGAGACAAAATCTATATTGAAAGCTTTGTAATAAATAAAAGTGAAGTGGAAACATTGTATTCCTGCCTGTTTTATATCAAAGCCCAATGAATGTTTGTTGAATTAATAAATATTACTGATATGTGCCATGTTCTGTGAAGGTAACATCCCAAGAATGATGTAAAACATCAACAGGACAAGCATTGTGTCTGTAACACATTAGTCACCACCAGCAGGTAGTAGTTCCCCTTTTCTCCTGCCTATTTTTCTCTAATTTCACAATCAAAATGATTGTCTGATGGAATATCTTTAAAAGGTCATGATGAATTATTCTGTAATATTCGAAATGTTATACTCAGAAAGGTCAGACTTTATTTTTTAGTATGAAGTGTCATATGGATTTGTTTTTCCTGGGTACATTTTCATTTCTTTTCCTTTTTTTTTCAAAGAGCAAGAAATTTAGAGCAGGGTGCCCTCTTGAGGAAATTTTCGCACCTTTTTCCCCCTCAAAGAACCTTTCTCTTTAAGAGCTGAATAAACTGAGAAGTATCGTTAAATGTTACCCACTGTTAATGAAAATTGAAGAAAAGAATTAAAATATATGAGTGAGCAAATGACATCTATTTGAAAATTATTTTCTCAACTTCTTTGACCTACAATGGCAGTTGTAAATAAGATTCTTTTAAATTTTATTATTAAGCAGTTGTACAAAAAGAGTTTAATTCCATAAGTCAGGTTGTGATTACAATGCATGTTGATTTGTGTGACCCTTCCATCATTTTTATCCATTAAGATTAAGAATTTTACAGCTATATTAAAAACTTACTTATTCCTTCGCAGAATCCTGTCGAATTAGGAAGCACCTGTTCTGTGGCAGAGAGTTTGGTAACACAATGATCAATGAAACATAGCCTTGAGCCACACACTAGTGGCTCACTCCTGTAATCCTAGCTACTCAGGAGGCTGAGAGCTAAGAATCACGGTGGGGAGCAGCCCAGGCAGGAAAACCTGTGAGACCCTTATGTTTAATTTACCACCAAAAAGCTAGAAGTGAAGTTGTAGCTCAAGTGGTGGAGCATTAGTTGTGAGAAAAATAACAGCAACAAACAAAAACCACCAGGAACAGCACCCAGGCCCAGAGTTCAAGCCCCAGAACTGCTGCTCCCTCCTCGTCCCCCATAAATAAAACGTAGCTCTTCCTTCCTTGGAGCTTTCAGTCTGTGAGGGACTCCCAATGAAAAAAATCATGTACCTGCCTATTGAGAAAATGCAGGAAATGGAAAAGTAGTAGTAGAATAAAGAAAAACCAACTCAGTGTTGTCACGGAAATCTGCCTAGAGGAAATAATGGAACTGAGGCTGTTTGTTTTTCAGTCCATTCGAGATCTACTGTCTGATGTAAACTGACTTTTGGACTTGACCGTCTTGGCCTTGTCTTCTCTTTGTTTATCTCTGCCCCAACCTGTGATGGTTTTTCCTGTGTTTTCTTCTATGGAAACCAGGCAAATCTTCCTCCTTGTTGCTCTAGCTGGTCCCTTATTTGAATCTGGGATACAAACTTTGAATGAGCTGCTTCTCCTTTGGATGTATCAGTAGCTCTCTTTAGCATCATCCCTTTAGTATCACCAGACGACCATGCACAGGACATTTTACCCCTTTGAATCTCAATTTCCTCACCTGCAAATTGGGGTTTATATTTTTCACAGCAGTACTAGACTTTAAATATAAGCAGTAGGTACTGTATAGATGAGAATGTGCTATGCACTCACACATTGCTGTTACTAGACAAATTGGAAATACATCAAAAAGACCTATGAAAAGACTACATTGGTTCCAGATCATTTATTTTTATGAAAATGTTAAGGAAAAATAACTATGTGGGAGAAGAAGATGTAAATTGAAGCATTCTTTACAGTAGAAAACATTGGAAAGATTCTAAATAAGTAGCAATAGTAGGCTGATTAAGTAATCATATTGCCTTAACCCAATAAAATATTGACCAGCACTGTTTAAATCGTAGGTGTTACAAAGTGGTTGGAAAGAAATGGGGAAAAAATCAATTGCTATTTTAATGTGGTGTTGTACTTTTCCTTTTATTAATTTCTCTGAGTACTTATCCTCTAGGAGAATTATTCAAATTTTCAAGAAAACTAGCCCCAATGTAAATTTCGTCTTGTTCTCTCTTCTCTTTTTTTAATTAGGGAAATTATCGTTTCATGAAACTCTTACTCACACGCAGAGCAAACTGGATGCAGAAGGATCTAGAAGAGATGACACCCTTGCACTTGGCCACCCGGCACAAGAGCCCTAAGTGTTTGGCACTTCTGCTGAAGTTTATGGCACCCGGGGAAGTAGACACACAGGATAAAAATAAGGTAATGGACTTTCAAAACCAAATGAGAACAGAAAATAAATGCTTTATTTTATGATATAAAACCTCAAAGAAGAAGGCCTACATCTATACCTATACAAGTGGCAGAACAGCTCCATGCCTCCATACATACATCCCATTAAAGTATTTCACTTAAATTCTGCCATTTTATCCGCCTTGCTACCATATGGTCGTAGTATCATCTCCTTTCTACAGATGGGAAAACTGAAGCTCAAGAAGATTACAATTTTGCCCAAGATGTAAGTGATAGAACTAGAATTCAAATCCAAAATCCAAATTTAACTCAAAATACTATATTTGACAGAGTCACCATAGTTACTGTACGTGGTTAGTTTCTCGGTGGCCAAATGCCCAGGACTATATACTAAGTGCATTGTGGTTTAATGGCCTTGGCTTTGGCATCAGATTCTTTGAGTTTCAATCCAGAAACCATCAGTACTTGTTCTTTGTCCTTGGGCAAATTACCTAACTCCTCTGGACCTTAATTTTCTTATGTGTGAAAAACCGATAAGATTATTGATGATAAAATGATTTAATCCATACAAATTGTCTAGCATAATGTCCAGTACATGATATTCTCTCAATAAACACTAGCTGTAAAATAATTTGGCTGCCATTTCAATTCTGACATCTGCTCTAGCATTTGTTGCTATGATTCATTATCTTCCCTGCTCTTAAATTGTAACATATTGTCCACACTGGTCATTGTTTTGATTGATGCTCTTATCATTCTTTATAGGAGAAAAAAAAACACGTCATCATTAGTTAGACAAGAATGATAATCCTCTTCCTTTCCACCAGGCATTTAGTCATAGAGTCTTGTTAACCCCAGTGCTCCCGAGTAATGAAAACTCTTATGACTAAATCCACTGGATTTATATTCAGTAATCTTTTAACTCTCATAGTGTTTTCTATGTAGTTTTTAAGTTTTATTTAGTAGTCTGAGTTTTGAGATCAACTTCTACTTTACAACTGTGCAGGAATATTATCCCAAACCCCACTGTTCATAATGCTAATATTTCACTATTATAAGCACTTTAATCGAACCACAAATATTCATCAATCACATAAGAAGCTTTCCATATCTTTAAGCTTTCTAATATCTTCCTCATACATTATAGCACTTCCTGTAGTCTTCAGATAACTGTGTTCATTAGTTGTTTTACAGGAGTAGGAGGTTATCTAGGAGGTTATCTATTCCATCAACAGATATGAAAAGAGCTGTGTAGTATAGCCAGGGACAGAGAAGAGAATAACACAGAAACATAGAGAAGTGAGGTTCAGATTCTCTGTGGTAAAGGATCAGTTTGTTTCTTTTAAAAAAAATTGAATCAGTCATAGGTTAATTTTTTATTACTTAAAAATGAACAACTTAAAAACCAATTAAAAATCAGCAAAGAATTTCAACAGACATTTCTCCAAAGAAGATCTACAAATGGCTATCATAAGAAATAATGATCAACGTCACTATTGATCAGAAAAGTACAGATCAAAACCATGGTCAGGCCAGATGTATAGACCCACACATACCATTCTAGTACTCCCTCCCTCAGTAGGCTTCTGAGGCTCAAGAATCACAAATTTGAAACCAGCCTGAATAACAAGATTTTGTCTCAAAAACAAACAGGCTGAAAGCTTGGCTCAGCAATTCGAGCAAGTATCTCTCTAGCAAGCAGAAGGATCAGAATTTAAGCCCTAGAACAGCAAAATCAAACAAAAACCCTACATAGGGGATGGCGATATACCCAGGTGATAGAGCTAATACTTGACACCCTTTGAGTGGCTGTCCCATAAACACAGAAAATAAGAGATGTTTGGAAGGGTGTGGAGAAATCTGAGCCTTATGCCTTTCTGTTTGTTGGAAGTATAAAATGGTGTAGCCACTATGAAAGCAGCATGGCAAATCCTAAGAAATTAGATCATAATAATTGATATTGTGCTTGTAATTTTATTGTGATCTTTGGTTGTTACTAAACAAAAGTAGTGAGTTAAATAATGACTGCTTATAGGGACATTTTAAATAAATACCATGTTAGTTTTTGTATGTCTAATATGACAGATGAGGGAGAATGATAGTTATCATGAAGAGGCATTATATACATAAATACACTTATTAAAATGAAACCCTTAACTAATTGATACCATCTAAAATAAAATGATTAAAAATTTTAAGTTATTCTATCACATTCTAAGGTTTTTTTTTGTGATAAGCAGATATGTGATCTCAAGATCATCCTTTGCTTCATTGTAATTATTGAGCTACTCTTTTTTTTTGTTGTTGTTGTTGTTTGTCAGTCATGGGGCCTGAACTCTGGGCCTGGGTGCTGTCCCTCAGCTCTTCAGCTCAAGGCTAGCGCTCTACCACTTGAGCCACAGCACCACTTCCAGCTTTTTCTGCTTATGTGGTGCTGAGGAATTGAACCCAGGGCCTCATGCATGCAAGGCACGCGCTCTACCACTGATCCACCCTTCCAGCACCTATTTGTTTGTTTTTCAGTGCTGGTACTGAAGTATGAACTCAGGCCTTAGGTGCTGTCCCTTAGCTTTTTCCCCTCAAGGCTGGCACTCTACCACTTGAGCCACAGCTCCACTTTTTGGTGGCTAGTGGAAGAGAAGAGGCTCACTGATTTTCTTGCTCTGGCTGGCTTCAAACTGTTATTCTTAGATCTCAGCCTCCTAGGATTAAGGCATGAGCCACCAGCTACAGAGCTACTTTTGGCTTTCTTATTAGTTGTACTTGATAAATTACTAAACTGTGGAAATTAAGAGGCCAGACTCTGAAATCACGCTTCCTGGGTTAAAATCTGAATTCAGCCCCATTCTACCCTGTCCTTGAGCAGATTATACATCTCTTCCTTGTCAATTATATGCAAATTAAAGAGCACTTTTCTCCCAGAAGGGTTATGATGACTGTGATGTACAGTGTATAAAACAGCAGTGCTTATCGTCTAATAAAAGTTTGGAGAGCTGGGCACCGGTGGCTCACACCTGTAATCCTAGCTACTCAGGAGGCTGAGATCTGAGGGTTGCAGTTCGAAACCAGCCCATGCAGGTAAATCCATGAGTCCTTGTGAGACTCTTCAATTAATGACTCAAAGACCAGAAGTGGAGCTGTGGCTCAAGTGGTAGAGTACTAGTCTTGAGCCAAAGAGCTCAGGGAAAGTGCCCAGGCCCTGAGTTCAAGCCCCACAACAGACAAAAAAAAAAAAAAGTTTGGAGAAGTTAGATGTCATTTTGAGAGCCTCTCCATCTTGCAGCAAACAGCTCTGCATTGGAGTGCCTACTACAACAACCCTGAGCACGTGAAGCTGCTGATCAAGCATGACTCCAACATTGGCATCCCTGACGTCGAGGGCAAGATCCCTCTCCACTGGGCAGCCAACCACAAAGACCCAAGTGCCGTGCACACAGTGAGATGCATCCTGGTGAGTAGAGCAAAACAAAATGATGATGACATAACTAGTATGTACAAATAATATATACTCCATACAAGCAGATGAGAAGCCAGAGAACACATCAAACATGTGGAGCATTTCAGTAACACTTTGAAGACCACCCAGAGGATTCCTGTGCTTCTGGATGCATTCCCTCATCCACCCCAGCCTCATTCTTGTTCCCCTGAATTTATATTTATCATTCTCTTACCTTGCTTTATACTTGATTTTATTGAACAGTGAATAGCTCAAGCTAGTTTAGTGGAATGCACGTATAATATAAAAAAATAAGGAAACAACAAAATCAGCACTAAGTTTAAGAAAAAGTCCATTACCCCTGTGCCACTGAAGCCGCCGGACAGCGTCTCTCCTTCCTCAGAGGCCAACATTAACTTCAATTTTGTGATATCATCTAGTGATTTGTTGTTGTTTTTGAGAAAGGGGTCTCACTGTGTAGCTTAGGCTAGCCTCTCTCCTCTCTACCCGCCCCTTCTCTCTCTCTACACACACACACACACACACACACACACACACGCTAAACTTTTTCACTTTATTCTCTATGCTTACTAACTTCCTGTTACATTCACATTTCCAGTGTCTGTCTGCTACATTCTGGGTAATCATCTCAGATCATCTTCCACTTTACTTGGTCTCTATTCAGCTCTTAAGTGGTTATTCATCCTGTCCAGTGAGTGTTTAATCTTAGTGATATATTTTTCATGTCCTAAATATTTATTTAGCCCTTCTTAAAAATCTACCTTGTCATTATGATTGTTTTTCTGCCTTGCTCACTTCCCGTTGCATTTTTATTCTCCTTCATATTTTATAGATATTTACTCTTCCTCATATGGTAAGTCTATATCTGAACTCCTTTGGGGGTAGAATTCTGTCAATTCTCACTCAGTGATATTTTCTCTCAGATTTTCCTCTTCCTTTTAATCATACTGATTGGGAAACTCGAGAGCCTACATCCTACTCCTTTCTTTGTGAAATGGGTTCACTGCACAGGAAAGCCATAATCTGAGATGACCATTCAGAGAGAGCTCCAATTGAGATCTTAGCTTGAAGGTTGGTTTAGGGTATGACCTAACCTGAGAGGGAACATGATCCTGGGCGAGGTAACTCTTCAGCTGACGCCATTCTGGCAGGCAGAGAGTTGAGGGTCATCCCAGCCCTGGAGAAGTAGGGCCTTTTCCTTGAAGAGGGACCTAAGCAATGCATCTTAATTAACTGTTTCAAAGGTCTAATAGAAAAGTGAATAAATATTATGAACTGTCAACTTATAGGGAAATAAAACTGAATCACTTACAAACATATGATTAAAAAGTTTAAACTTATTCATAAAAGTACTACAAATTAAATATCAATGAAGTGTCTTTCACACTCACAAATAAAAACGCAGAGATGGAGGGAAGGCGTGGCATTGCCCCAGAAGGAATGTACTCACTACCTGACTTATATAACTATAACTACTCTGTGTATCACCTTTATATTAACAATAAAAAATTTAACAATATAGATAATAAAACATTGTGCTAAGAAAAAAATATGGTAAGTTTGATAACACCAACTCTTATTTCCTGCTTAAATTAAGTGTGATTAATTTGTGTCAGCATTAGGGGATGTAAAAACTTTAACACATTGTCATGGTGTGTTAATTGGTATAACAACTTGGAGAGCAATTTGACAGTATCAAGATCAACAATATCAACCCAGCAATTCCTCTTTTGATATCTGCCAAGAGAAAACTATCATACATATGTAACAAGGGACTTGCAAAGGATGCATTCACTAGAACATTACTTGTGATGGTGAAACAACAGTCCCTTGGGAAGAGAATGGATAAATAAAGCATGGTTTATTCACTCAAATCAACAAATGCACTGCTGTCAACACAAATATTCACAAGTGCAGTGCTGAAAGGGAAAAGTGACCAAAGGAAGTTCATATACACTGCCATAATATAAGCATTGAAAACAAACAGACAAAATTATGTATGGATTATTTATTATAAATTATTTACAGATACATACATATGGCCAAAAGTACAAAACACAGCTTTAGCTGAATCCATGACAGACACAAAAGTACACTAGGCAAAACTGTTAGTACCTTAAAACATAACCAATTCATGGTGGTCATTACATTCTTTTCTGTACTGATAGTCAAAGATGAATAAGGCTGAAGATTTGAACTATACACTGTTTTCTGTATTTATCTTTATTTTTGTGCCTATAAAGAAAGTAGTAGGTGTAGAAAGGTGCTCTGTTAGTCTGTTAGTATGCCAACCATCATTTATTAAGGGTTCCACATATGTTTGAAGTTTCTCATTCCTTAAAATCAGGATGCTGCCCCAACGGAGTCTCTACTGAACTGGCAAGACTACGAGGGCCGCACCCCTCTCCACTTTGCAGTTGCGGATGGAAACGTGACGGTGGTTGACGTCCTGACCTCATATGAAAGTTGCAACATAACATCATATGATAACTTATTTCGAACCCCTCTGCACTGGGCAGCTTTATTAGGTAAGTTGCTGTGAATCAGAGGATCAACCGTCGGAAGGACTGCCTGAAGATACAGAACTCCTGTTCCTTCTCTTTCCTGGTTGGTTCTCACCTGTTTATTTATTTACCTCAATTTCTAATGGATCCGGTGAAATATTTGACAAACTGACTCTATTGTATTCCTAAGTTTCAGTGATATGAATCCTTTCTCTGTTAAATGTTTTTAATTTCAGCATCATATCTTAACTTCTACTGTTGTCATAAAAGTAATGAAAATTCATTGACAACATGTAAAAATGTAAGATAATTCTCTTCTCATATCCAGGGCCTGTATTGGGGGAAATGAGGGCTTTAACTTCATGTTAGTGCTAATGTCATGGTATTTGATTTTTTTTTCCTTCACATTTCTCTTTCACATAACCTTTTAGGGGATCATTTTTTAGATAAGAAGGTCAGATTTCTATACTCTGAGTCTTTTTCTCATTTAATGTAGTCCTATTCTTTATCATGGCTAAAATACAAATACTGTGGTCTTTTAGCATCTTAAGACCTTTTTTCTAATTGTTTCCTATTGGCTTTGTTTTATACGGTTTGGTATGTGGATTAGGATTGTTGCTGTTACTTTGTTTCGAATTACCTAATATTTTAAGAACTACCTAATATTTTAAGAACATCTTTAAGCTTTCCTAGTGGTTGCTTTTAAGTTTATCAAGAACATTCTGAACCAGTGAACCAGTGGCTCACACTACTCTGGAGGCTGTGATCCGAAGACTGGGGCTCCCAGCCAACCTGGGCAGGGAAATCCATGAGATCCTTACCTCCAGTTAGCCAGCCAAAGCTGGAGGTAGACGTATAGCTGAAATGGTAGAGCCCCAAGCTCTAAAAAAGCTAAGAAAGCACAAGGCCCTAAGTTCAACCCTGAGTACCAGAAATAAAAATAAAAAAGTAAACAAATAAGAACATTTTAAGGCTGAGTAGGAGTCAAGAGCAGCATTCATTCATTCACTCCCACTTCTTTAAGACAAAAGAATGTATCACCTTTTACTCATTCTTTTGGTATTTGTTACTATAATCTGAGGGTATTATTATCTTGATTTTATAGCTGCATTCAGTTTTCTGGCCATTTAGTAATTATGACTTAGGGTTCATTTCAAGGTGTGATTTCATCTCCTTTTCCTTTCCTCTAGAATGTGGGTATAATTGGCAAATTTATCTCCACATATCTAAGCTGACTTTTGATTCCACAAATTCTGTTTTCTTTCCTCCTCTTACAGAGATTGTAATTTAGATTGTATTTCCATTTCCTTCTCTCATCCCTGTTTCTTTTTACCTCATCATGTCTTCTTTCATCTCTTTCCATTGCCTTTCCATGTGTTCTCTTCTAAGGGAATTCTGTTTCTGCTTCATGGAAGACATTTCTTTTTACAATAAATAGAAGATGCCAGTCTACTGAATTCTTCCTCTCGATTTTTCTTTAGGCCATATCTAAAGTATGCTCTTTATCTTTCTCTTGACATTTCATTTTTCCTGTTCTACAGTATGTTTTCTTATACTTTTTACTGAAATTTTCTTTTTGTTCATTACATAAAATGAAATGGGTTTAGATTAACTATGTGACCCAGGTTGCCTTTGATCCTACATTTGTCTCATGGAGACATCTAGTTATGAAGAGCAAGTAGATGAGGTCCCTTTGTCCAGTTTTTTTTTTTTTTTAATCAGTCGTGGGGCTTGAAATCTGGGCCTGAGCGCTATCCCAGAACTCTTTAACTCAAGGTGACCACTCTACCACTTGAGCCACAGCACCACTTCCAGTTTTCTTGTGGTCTGTTGGAGATAAGAGTTTCATGGAGGGGCTGGGAAGGTGGCTCAGTGGTAGAGCGCTTGCCTTGCATGCATGAGGCCCTGGGTTCGATTCCTCAGCACCACATAAGCAAAAAGACAAAAGCCGGAAGTGGTGCTGTGGCTCAAGTGGTAGAGCGCTAGCTTTGAGATGAAGAGCTGAGGGACAGCACCCAGGCCCAGAGTTCAGGCCCCACGACTGGACCCAAAAAAAAATAAAGAGTCTCATGGACTTTCCTGTCCAGGTTGGCTTTGAACCATGATCCTCAGATCTCAGCCTCCTGAGTAGCTAGGATTACAGGTGTGGCTGCTTCTATATTGTCTGGTTCTCAATTCCATATTACTGTAGTGATAGATAGTATGAAAATGTGCCCTACATTGATTTGCTGTTTTGTTTTGTTGAAGCAATCTCCCTTCATACCTAGGGCTACCCTGGAACTCTCTCTATAGCCCAGCTTCTCCTTGACCACCCCTTCTTCCAACTCTGCTCCTCAGCTGGGGTTACAGTCAGGTGCCATTATACCCAGTTGTTTGCACTTTGATCTTGTACAATTCTTCCCTTGTAGAAACCACTTTCTCAAACCCTTACTGCAGAGTATTATCCCACCACTGCCTCATCACACCAGTCCTCTTGTTTTGTGGGTTTAGAAATCATTGTCTAAGCATTCAAAAACTCAGAGAAAGACAGGTTAGGTGGAGTGGTCAGGAAACTCTAGAGATATGAATGTATAGTAGTTTGTCTACCTTAACAGTGGAAAAGAACGACTGCACAGTTCTGATTGACTCCACAGTGTACCCTTAAAACAAGGCACAGTAAAGACTAAGACAGTAAAGACTCTGTGGTACAGAATGAAGCTAGGGAGTGCAGGGGCATGATACATAAAACGTTTCTCTCTGTTGAGCAGTTACGCCCAGTATCATTTCCTTTCCGATTAAAATAGTACAATAGCCTTTATGGTTTAGCCTGATAGGAAGTTAGAAGAGGCTTCACTAGAGACTGCTGTTCCAAAACCATTTTGAGTTTGGAACTGGTAGCTCATGTCCACAATCCTAGCTACTATGGAAATTGAGACGAAGAGGATTACAGTCCAAAGCCATCCAAGGTTAAGAAAAAAAATCCTAGAGATTCCATCTCCAACATCACCAGCAAAATGCTGGGCTGGAGGTATGGGTCAAGCAACGCCAGCCAAACAAACAAGCCAAGCAACTGTGAAGCCCTGAGTTCAAACCCTGGTACTGGGGTAGCTGTGTGTGTGTGTGTGTGTGTGTGTGTGTGCGTGCGTGTGTGCGTGTGTGTGTGTGTGTGTGTGTACACACATTTAGTATAAGGTATATTCTTACGCCTTTTTTTTTTTTTGTCGGTCATGGGTCTTGAACTCTGGGCCTGGGCACTCCCCCTCAGCTCTTCAGCTCAGGGCTAGCATTCTACCACTTGAGCCACAGTGACACCCCTGGCTTTTTTCTACTTAGGTGGTGCTGAGGAATAGAACCTAGGGCCTCATGCATGCAAGGCAAGCACTCTACCACTGAGCCACCTTCCATGCCTTCTTTAAATAGCTTAAAAATTAACATCCTTTATATTTGTTAACTACTTTGTTATGTCTGTTCTCAGGCCATGCACAGATTGTCCATCTTCTTTTAGAAAGAAATAAATCAGGAACTATCCCATCGGACAGCCAAGGAGCCACACCCCTGCACTATGCAGCTCAGAGTAACTTTGCTGTAAGTAAGATAGAACAATTCTTTTTTTTTTAATTTTTAAACAATTTTTGCCAATTAGCTTCACTTGCAGTTGCAAGAAATATAAGATCCCATGTACCCTTCACCCAGTTTGTCCTAGTGGTAACTTCTAGTGCAGTAGCATAAACAGAAAGGTGACAGATTTTTACCACTTCTATGGCACTAATTAGCTTGTGTTGATGCAGCCATTATCTTTCAACAATTGTGCACACTGCTAACTCTGACTATGATGTAGTTATAGTCTGAGTTTTTGTAAAGTTGCTAGTCACATGGGAAGTTTTATGCAGATTTTACTTGAATGCTCAGTAATAATGGCTTGTTTTATGATAGATAAGTATACTCTCATCACTTGGTTACTTTTGTAGAAATAAGGAAATCTTAGTGGATAATAATGTCCGGAATTGTGTAGCAAGTCTTTGAAACCACAAAAACCTTGGCTAGAATCCAGCTCTTCGGTTTTCTAACAGTGTGATCTTGAACAAGTTTCTTAGTCTCTCTTTTATTTCTTAATATGTAAAAGATAATTATATTTCCTCTCAGGATTGTTGTAAATATTAGAGAAAATTTATGACAACCATCTACTATAGTTTTTAATATTGAGCAAGTATTTAAGAAATAGAATGCACAAAATATGGTAGCCATGACTCTAATCCCAGCTACTCAGGATACAGGGATAGAACTGCCATCCAAAGCCAGCCAGACAAAGTTGGCCTGAGACATTATCTGAAAAACAACTACAGGCAAAAGGATTAGAGACATGGCTGGACTGGTAGAGTGCTTGCCTAACAAGCACAAGGCCCACTGAGTTCAATCACCAGCTTGGAGTGGATGTCAGGGAATACAGAAACACTGAATATTATTAATAGTCCTTCCTTTGCAGCACTTTCTTATCCATTATGCACTCAGCCAACCAGAAAATGATAGTGTCCAGGCTAATTCTGCCCCCTAAGTCTGAATAACTTCGAAGTAGACTCATGCAAAGGGGCACATGTTAAAGCAGTCGTAGTTAATCTGCTTGCCTTCTACATGAGTGTATATAATGAAACCATGGGTTCATTATAATAACACTATCATCAGCAGAGTGTAATTTCTTGACTTCTACAAATGCTCTATCGAATCCTAAATGGCTAGAATATCTTATTTTCATACCTTTCTTACTCTCTGTGCCCAGATTATCTATAGCCTTTCCTTCTTGGCATTCCTAAAAATGTATTTATTACCTAGAGTTTGGACAAAACATTATCTTCCCTAATGACTCAATATACCAGAAAAAATAAGGCTGGGAAGTTGGCTCAGTGGTAGAGTGTTTGCCTCGCCTGTATGAGGCCTTGGGTTCGATTCCTCAGCACCACGTAAGCAGAAAAAAGCCAGAAGTGGCGCTGTGGCTCAAGTGGTAGGGCGCTAGCCTTGAGCTGAAGAGCTGAGGGACAGCGCCCAGGCTCAGAGTCAGCCCCCATTACCAACAAAAAAAAAAAAAAGTAAGTAGTGTTTTGAGGAGGAGCTCTTTATACTACAAGTCAATGAGAAATTCATAGCTTAGACTAGTTATTCTATGGAAATCAGAACTCAAGCAGTAATCCAACACAAGCCTATGAGATCAATCATGTCATCCTATTTACAGGCTAAAAACCACCAAACCAGGTTCAAAGACTTGAATTACTTGCCTATCATCTTGAACCTAAGCTGTGAACTCCAAATTGAACAAATATATATATATATATATATATACTAATAATCATACCTATGCTAATGGGAGAAGAAAGAATGGTAGAACATTATGATGTTTATTTCAGAGAGATATTTGCTTTGCATAATTTTCCAGCTGGAGTTGTAAATTTTCTTAACTATTTCAAGCTCCTTGGTCCCTTTAGCCTTTATTTGCTCAGAAATGTAGCAGTTTTGTTTTTCGCAAAACACAAAAATAAAAACCAAAAAATCCCTACAAACATTCATCTTTAGGAAAAATATACTAAGTTATATTTGCAAATCAGCAAAAGAAAATGAAATAACAGTCTTCAACCTTTTAAATTCTTTCGCTTAATTCAAATGTACATAGTAAACATATATACTAGATCTTAGATGCGCTAGGCTATTAGACCTCAGTAACTCCACAACCTTAAGACTTAGACACAGTATATTATACACTAGAAAGCATGCTGTGATTCACCAGTTCCTGTATCTGCCACCAGTATTCCTATGACTTGGAACATAAATTTGTTCATCTGTAAAAGGAAGGACTGGATTAGATGAACCATTGAATTGATTCTTCCTGTAAAATACTGAGTCAATATTTTATACATTTTTTGTCTCTTCACAGTCTTCAGAAAACTTCTTGACACTCTCATACGCATCCAAGGAAAAATTTCTTAATCTTTCTTAAAATGTATAGAATCTAAATTCTGAGAAAAGAAACAATTTAAAATGTTGGAATACTAGCTTCTATTGTTAGGCACTATTAGCACTGAGGAAGGACTTGAATATAAGAACTACTACATGATGGGCTGGGAAGTTGGCTCAGTGATAGAGCACTTGCCTTGCATGCCTGAGGCCCTGGGTTCAATTCCTCAGCACCACATAAGCAAAAAGAAAAAAGCCGGAAGTGGCGCTGTGGCTCAAGTGGTAGGGCACTAGCCTTGAGCTGAGGGACAGTGCTCAGGCCCAGAGTTCAGGCCCCACAACCAAAAAAAAAAAAAAAAAAAGAACTACATGAGCACTTGTTTGAATGAATTGAATGCTGCATTTCTCAGCACTTTTCAATCACGATTTAACAAATGCACTAATCATCTTTAACGTTTTTATTATTAAAATGAATAATGAGATAATATATTTACCTCCTCTAGAGACACATGCTTGTAAAATGCCCAGGAAAATATATATTTTAATGTTGATCATGACATTGGATACTTCTGGGTCTTTTGTCATCTCTAGCACAGAACTGAAAAGGCTTGATTGAAGATAGTCATTCTCAATGTTGAGGATGTTGAATGAAGGAGTTATATTATGTTTTTGAAGTATTGTAGAAACTAAAACTAATCTATAACAGCAAAAGATAATTATTTTCCATGAAAATTATTTTGTTAGTCACAAAAACATAATTTCATTTGATTGAAAAGCAAGAAAGAATACTTTGCTTCATAGTTGAAGTTACATATATAATTGATGCCTTATTGCTACAAAGAGTGTTACTCTCTTGCATTGATGTGTTCTTTTCTTTTTTTTTTTTTTTGGTAAGTCATGAGGCTTGAACTCAGAGTCTGGGAGCTGTCCTTGAGGGTTTTTTTGTTTTGTTTTGTTTTTTGGGTCCGGTCGTGGGGCCTGAACTCTGGGCCTGGGCGCTGTCTGTCCCTCAGCTCTTCAGCTCAAGGCTAGCGCCCTACCACTTGAGCCACAGCGCCACTTCCGGCTTTTTGCTTTTTGCTTATGTGGTGCTGAGGAATCGAACCCAGGGCCTCATGCATACAAGGCAAGCGCTCTACCACTGAGCCATGTCCTTGAGTTTTTATTCTGAAGTCTAGCACTCTATATCACTTTGTGCCACAGCTCGACTTTTGTTTTTTTTTGGTGGTTAATTGGAGATAAGAGTCTCATGAGCTTTCTGCCCGGGCTGGCTTAGAACTACAATCCTCAGATCTCAACCTCCTGAGTAGCCAGGATTACAGGCATGAGCTACCATTGCCTGGCTAGATCAGTATATTCAATGAAATTTTCTTGCAGGAAACAGTTGAAGTGTTTTTAAAACATCCTTCAGTGAAAGATGATTCAGACCTTGAAGGAAGAACTTCCTTTATGTGGGCAGCAGGGAAGGGCAGCGATGATGTTCTTAGGACCATGCTGAGCTTGAAATCTGACATTGATATTAACATGGCAGACAAATATGGAGGCACAGGTAAGAACTGATAAACGAGTTCACAGGTAAGAACCGGTAGGCGGGTTCCGTTCACTTTCATTCAGGCTCCAAAATGCAGATGGCACTATGAACTGTAAAATGGCAATTTGAAATCATAGCCCCTAATCTAATGCTATTTAACTTTGTTCTTTTCTTTGCAACTTTGAGCTTTCCAGGATATCACATTTCTTCCAAGTATTATAACCAAAGTTAGTACATTTCTACCTGAAGAATGGTGACATGTGACTTATGACATTGGTCCTTATAGATGATTAGAAGAACTCTTCTGATCACTTACCTATGTAAAAAAAAAAGCATAAACCTTTACTTTTCCTTTTTTTTTTTTTTTTTGCCAGTCATGGAGCATGAACTCTGGGCCTGAGTGTTGTTCCTCAGCTTTTAGCTCAAGGCTAGCGTTCTACCACTTGAGCCACAGTGCCACTTCCAGCTTTTTCTGCTTATGTGGCGCTGAAGAATTGAACTCAGGGCCTCATGCATGTGAGGCAAGCACTCTACCACTGAGCTACCTTCCCAACCCAATCTTTACTTTTAAACTGCCTATTTTGTAGTTATTCATTATATTTCTAGAAACACAGAATTTAAGGCATGCACATAACTTAGTGTGTTCTCACCCATCACATTTACTATGCTCTTGTCTCAGATTTGAATAGCAGGACTACATATTGAATTTTCCATTTTAGAGACAACTTCCCGTGACTGTAGCAGCTTCATAGCTTCTGGTCAGCCTAGCATCAAAAGCTTATAATGGATACTTCTTCCTATCTTTCTCTAATAGAGAAAGACAAAGATAGGTGCATGTGTTTTAGCATTCATTGTCAATTTGAAGGTCTGTTTTTTGTGTACTATATCCTAATTGCAACAAAAAATCACACACTAATACAGTAGAACTGAGCAGGATAAAACTTAGCATTGGGCTTCACAGTGTTATGGCTTTTTTATGTACAGAAGTGTTCTAGAGCCTTTTGTATCTATTGTCCTGGATATGACTTTCTTGGGTGCTGAAACTATTGGTGCAGCCCTGTGGGGAGAGGGGAATGGTAGGCGCTACACACACTAATATTCCTTCTGATACTGAGACTGCATACCGTCTAGAATATTTTTTAGATGTTTTTAGGCAGCTTCAATTTGAAGGATTTGAAGCTTTTGGAAGGATTTTGTCATCAAAGCCTCACGGCAGATGTTAAGTTTCTATAGGGGTATGATACAAACAGATACAAATCAGACACTGAGTTTATAAATAATGTAAACATTTACATTTGTATTAGAGTTCTTCCCAGCAGCTAGAGTGATCCGCTTGAATTGTTCATCAGATCTGTCCTTCCTTTTCTCTCATGATTCCAACCTATATGGCCATTTATACCCTAGTCTTTTCTACCTTTCTCACTTAGCTCATTCACTCACCCTTATTGTACAGTTGCTGCCCTGCCCTTCCATACACAGACAACCCTTCCTAGGCTGTACTAATGTTCCCTTGGCCCAGAAATACTGTCTCTATTTTTATGGCTCAGGTCTCAACTTAAATGTCAGCTCCTCAGCAAAGCAGTCCTATCAAAACTACTCTCCCAGACTTTCATTACATTCATTATACAGTTCATCACGACCCATCACTTTATTGTTATGGCTTTTTTCATGTTTTTTTAAATTTTGATTTACTTCCCTTTCTAGAATGTAACCTTATCTATTTTCTAATCCCAGTAATCTTTTAGTAATAGACAGCCTAAAAGGCTATATTTTTTACAGGTATTTTAGACTTGCTTATAAGCAAAGGTGGATCACTGTTCATGAAAGAGGCACCGAGGTAAGCGTTACAGGAACATAACACTTAGAGGAACTTATGTAGGCATCTAGATTGTCTAAAGAGACAGCACAAGTCAAGCACTGCAGTGCAGACACATGGCAGGAATACTCAACAAACATACTCAAAATTACTCATTAGAAGGCACCAGAGGGGAGACCAAATTTCATCTCTCAGGCTTTTCTCCAATATTGAAATGAGTAAGATGTTTCTTAACTTGCACCTTGAGAAAGTAGCTGACTTGCATGAAGCCATGTTGAATGGGGAAATGTCCTCAGGGCAGCCAAGTACCTGGACTTTCGGTTTTACACAGGTGCCCAGACCAACCAAAGGAACAGCACTCGTACCAGGCTGAGGACAGAAGGTTGACAGCCCTAGTCACGTTAGGCCCAAGGGACATGTGCTTACTGGGCAGATTGGTAGGCATTTTTCTCTTGGTCATTTTTCGTTTTCCAAAAAGAGGAAAGATTAAACTCGTAACTAATAAGATGATATCACTTCAGACGACAGAAAAAAAAGGGAAGAAGGTGAGGCCCCCGCTCTCTTCCTGCAGCCCAGGAATTGCCAAATTATCAGATCAACATTTTTAGTGACCAAGGTTATTTTTTTTTAGAACTATGCAAATGTTGAGAAAAGCCTGTTTCATGTCTGGCTACTAAAAAGGATGAATAAAATACATATTCTCTCTTTCTCTCTCTCTGTCTCTCTCTGTCTCTCTCTGTCTCTCTCTGTCTCTCTCTCTCTCTCTCACACACACACACACACACAAGGTATTATTGAATGCACAGACTTTTTAGAAATGCTTTTAAGGAACAAGGGCAGAATGACTGGGCTATCCATCCTAGCCTGCCAGGAGTGTGCAGGACCTGCACACACAGTCTGGCCCACGGCCTGACCACTGCCTGCGGAGCCACGCCATGTACAGTTCCACACCACTAGGCAACAACAAACTCCAATGTGTTTCCAGTTCAGTTGGAAGTCAATCAAATTTTTGTATTATCAGTGTCTCCTTGATTGGTTTTCCCAGTAATTCTGTAAATTGTTCATTTGCAATGAGGTTTTTTTTCCTTTTGTACAATTTGAAACGGATGCTTCACCTCTCCTTTAATAAACTATTGAAGATCAAAAAAGAAAAAGGAAGAGAAACATGAGAAGAGAAAGAAGGGGAAAAAGTATGATAAACTAGGTAATCCTTAGGATTTGGACCTCATTGATCCACAGTAACAGAGAAGTCACAAGAGGAAAGGACACACAGCAGAATGAAGAGTAAAGTTTTAAGCAGTCTATCACTTTCTTTTTCTTCCTTCTTAGCTTTGCATGCGGCTGCCCTTTCTGGCCACGTCAGCACTGTGAAATTATTACTAGAAAACGATGCTCAAGTAGATGCCACTGACGTCATGAAACACACTCCACTTTTCCGAGCCTGTGAGATGGGACACAAAGATGTGATTCAGACACTTATTAAAGGTTAGTTCATTCTAATACTCCTTCGAAGTCACTCACAAAAGTGGGGAATTCTTTTTTTTGGGGGGGGTCCGGTCATGGGGCCTGAACTCTGGGCCTGGGCGCTGTCCCTCAGCTCTTCAGCTCAAGGCTAGCGCTCTACCACTTGAGCCACAGCGCCACTTCCGGCTTTTTTCTTTTTGCTTATGTGGTGCTGAGGAATTGAACCCAGGGCCTTGAGCATGCAAGGCAAGCGCTCTACCACTGAGCCACCTTCCCAGCCCCAAAAGTGGGGAATTCTTGCACGCTCATTTTTGAAATAAAATATCACATGACTGAAAGCCACATGGTAAGATTCCTCAACCCAGCACCAGGAAACTCCAGTTCTACTAGCTCTGCGTGGTAGCAGTTTGATTTGGGAAGTCACTTTATCTGCCTGATTTTCAGTGTCATTTAGGGAGTGATTCTCACCCTCACCCACCTACAGGCTTACTGTAAAAATCTGGAGTCAGCAGTGTATGTGGAAGCATTTCAGTGAGAAGAAAGCAACTGAGACTGTTGCTACATTTTTTTAACTTTGATTCTTTTTGATAAATGCTGTCTACATTAGACATTTTCATTATTCTTTTCCTTTTCTAGGTGGAGCAAGGGTAGATCTCGTTGACCAAGATGGACATTCACTTCTACACTGGGCAGCACTAGGAGGAAATGCTGACGTGTGCCAGATATTGATAGAAAATAAGATCAATCCAAACGTGCAAGATTACGCAGGGAGAACCCCTCTGCAGTGTGCTGCATACGGGGGATACATCAACTGCATGGCAGTGCTCATGGAAAACAATGCAGACCCCAACATCCAAGACAAAGAGGTAACCATCCCGGGTCCTTTATAGTGAAGTTAGCGCCTAAAGGTTTAGACACTTTGTTCTGTATCATGAGCTTAAGTAATGTAGAGCTTTACCAAAGGTAGAGCTCACCCACAAAGCTATCCATCAGTCACAAGTTTTTCTTTGTTGATATTCTCTTCAAATAATCATCTCTATACATTTTAAGTTAGAATATACACTAGAAATAATGTGAATGTCTGAAATATAATATGGCCTATATGTGTATGTGTATATATAATTTATTAGATGATTTTACAAACATATGTGATAGATATTATATGATTTTACAATCTTTTTTATTCAACTAACATTTTTTATTTGCTGTATAATCTTCATAATCATGAGTGCTTAATATTCCAAAAATGTAAGTTTATATTTTTATTTTTTTTTTTGTCAGTTGTGGGGCTTGAACTCGGGGCTTAGGCGCTATCCCTCAGCTCTTCAACACAAGGCAAGTGCTCTACCACTTGAGCCACAGCACCACTTCTGGTTTTCTGGTGGTTTATTGGAGATAAGAGTCTCATGGACTTTCCTGCCCAGGCTGGCTTTGAACCGTGATCCTCAGATCTCAACCTCCTGAGTAGCTAGGATTACAGGCGTGAGCCAGTGGCGCCCAGCTTAAATTTATATTTTAATGGCTAATTTTATTCTTAAAATACCCCTATAAATTAGTTACTATCATTACTCTATTTTGAAGAAAAGCAAAACACATGTTTTGAATAATTACCCTAATGTGGTACATTTGAGATTGGGGGATTCAGGATGTAAATGGTAATTTCACACACATTTTCAGACCTCAAAATCTTTTTGCTGGGCACTTTTCCATTGGTATTATAGACACTGTTGCTGAAATCATCTTTGTCCACTTAATTTTTTTCTTTCACATTATTCCCTTAGAATAATTACCCTCCAAGTGAGATTACTGAATCAAAGAAAGAAATGGTACTTAAGTGTGATTATCTATGATGCATAACACCCAAATGACTTCTAAAGATATACTGGTTAATCTATAATGGCTCCATCTATGCAGTAAGGTACCAGCTTCTCTCAATTTAGCCAGCACTGAGCCCTGACTTTTTTCCTTTTTGTGTTGGTACTTGTCAGGTTTTGGTAGCCAGGTATGCAGATATCAACAAAAGAGTTAAGAAATAATTGTTTTTTATTCATATCTGTATAACAAAGTTATATAAATTAAGAAAATAGATTCTTAATTCATTCAGCAAGTTTTGATTAAGATTGTAACTATATGTAAAAATAACAATTGAAAAATATGGTCTTTATCGACTTGGGAATGCATCTCTTTATCATTTGTTATACTTTTTCTATTTTAACTAAGTTGTCAGTTTCTCGCATACGTGATATATTAAGCTCGTTTTTCTAGGCATGATAACATCTGTGGTAGTCCTTTTTAGTCTCATAACAACCCTTATGTAAGATTGCTATTCCTTCTTCCTTAAATATTTTGGAAAATTCACTTCTGATCTTTAGGTGATGAAATGAACAAATTCCTGTAAGTTTCAACTTCCAAGATGAAAAGAAAATAATCAGAAAGTCAGAATAGGCTATGTTTATTATCTTTTTGTCTTTGGGAAGTTGAAACTTATAGGAAATTTGTTCATGTTAGTCAAAACATTAAATGTATTTGCATAAAATTGGTTGCTTACTGTTTTTATATCTGTAGAAACTGTAATGATTTTCTCATATTAGTTCTGTCCACTGATATTTTGTTATTTCTCTCTTCCTTTTTAACATATTTTCTACTTCCTACTTTGATTTATTCTCTGAACTAAAGATTGCAAAGGTGGCTCAGTGGTAGAGTGCTTGCTTTGCATGCATGAGGCCGGGTTCAATTCCTCAGCACCACATAAGCAGAAAAAGCTGGAAGTGGTGCTGTGGCTCAAGTGGTAGAGTGCTAGCCTTGAGTTCAAGAGTTGAGAGACAATGCCCAGACACAGAGTTCAGGCTCTAGGACCGACCAAAAAAAAATTATTCAGAAGTATGCTTAGTTTTTGGACAGTTGAACATTTTGTTGTTTTTAATTCATTATATTTAGTTTCCTATTGCTGCTTTGATAAATTATCACAAACTTACAATACAGATTTATTATCCTACTGTTCTGGATGTCAGAAGCATAAAATCAATCTCTCTGGGCTAAAACATACAGGTGTCAACAGGGAAACATTGAAAGCACTGTAGGAGAATCCATTTCCTTCACTTTTCCAGTTTCTAGAGGCCGCCCAAATTTCTTGGGTCATGACTGACCACATTGCTCTATCTTCAATGCCACCAGTGTAGTTGAGACTATATCTCTCTGACAATCACCTTCTTGCTTCTCTTTCCCTCTCATGATTTGTATTGCTTCCTCCTAATTTGATACAGATTTCACATTAGTGGAATATTACGCAAGCAGTATTGATTGCTTCTCAGGTGTCACGTCTGGTGTCATGTCACCATTGTGTTAATTATAATCTTGGTTCAAATACCATTTGTATTTCCATTATCTACTTAATGGTACCTCCTTTTCTATAATTAAGCAATTTGGGGAATAATAATATTCTTGAGTTAACATAAAGAACCAAATATGAAAAATTCATTCAGGTACACTTGTTTGATTTTTTTTTCACATTCTATAAAGGGAAGAACAGCGTTGCACTGGTCCTGTAACAATGGATACCTTGATGCCATCAAACTATTGCTCCATTATGCTGCTTTCCCTAATCAGATGGAAAACAACGAAGAGAGGTAAGCTGTTGATATAAATGAGTGTACTGCTGTATTTCTCCCATTCTTTCTGCCACATATTTAATCTTCAGTTTAGATATTGGTTCAAAAATAAGTATACCCAAAAGGAAATACTACACTAAGGAATCTTTTTCTTGTTTGTTTTTGGGTCAGTCATGGCTCTTGAACTCTGGGCCTAGGTGCTATCCTCAACTCTTCAGCTCAAGGCCTGCACTCTACCACTTGAGTGACAGCGTCACTTCTGGCTTTTCTCTTTATGTGGTACTGAGGAATTGAACCCAGGGTCTTATGCATCCATCGCAAGCACTCTACCACTGAACCATCTTCCCAGACCCTACACTAAGAAATCTTGATCCAAAGAAAGAGCAAAAAAGTTCCATGCAGTGCTGATTTGGGTCTGATAGCTATTGAGAACTTTAGATCCTACCTAGGGTAAGTCCATACTTTGCATGAGAAAACAGGCCTCTGGCTTATGGATAGTTCAGGTAGGCCAGAGGAATGTATTCTCTGTTCTGTATTCAAGAGATTTCTCTTCATAGAGAGGGAATTATCAGTTAGTGGGTACAAAAGTGCCCCCACTAACACATAAACAGAGATGCTGAAAGTTCAGCATTTAATGTATAAATATAGCTTCCTTGAATAACAACCAGGTTCACATAGTTATGCTGGGCCTATAAATATAGCTTCCTTGAATAACAACCAGGTTCACATAGTTATGCTGGGCCTATTACCCAACGATACAATATGAAATCTTTTTTTTTTTTTTTTTTTGTCGGTCGTGGGGCTTGAACTCTGGGCCTGGGCACTGTCCCTCAGCTCTTCAGCTCAAGGCGAGCGCTCTACCACTTGAGCTACAGCGCCACTTCCGGTTTTCTGGTGGTTTATTGGAGATATCTCACGGTCTCTCCTGCCCGGGCTGACTTTGAACCGCGATCCTCAGATCTCAGCCTCCTGAGTAGCTAGGATTACAGGCGTGAGCCACCAGCGCCCGGCGACAATATGAAATCTTAAGCAGCAGAAATTCTCGTTTGTCGTGGAGCCAGGAAGATTCTAATAACTGGTAGTTAACAACTATTTTTGTGACCAGACTTCCATATCTAGCATCCCTCTAGTCCAGGTCTGTGAATTAGTCTTTACTGTTCGTGGCTATGTTCACTGAATGGCCCTGACTTGACCTACCTCCTCCTCTGAGCCACATTACATTGTTCTTTTGGGTGGGAACATATGGAGAAAGAGGAGCTTCTCTAGGCTAGTTAAGCTTAGTGGAAACATGTTCCTCCTTTTAGAACCAACCTCGTGCTGCTTCTCAGAATTCTTCCTCATCAGTAAGAGAACAGATGTCTCCTTATGAAGCTCTTAAAAATAATAAAATATAGCTGGGCGCCAGTGGATCACACCTGTGAACCTAGCTACTCAGAAGGCTAAGTAATCTGAGGATTGCAGTTCAAAGCCAGCCCGGACACAAAAGTCCATGAAACTCTTATCTCCAATAAACCACTCAGAAAACCAGAAGTGGCACTGTGGCTCAAGTGGTAGAGCACTAGCCTTGAGCTGAAGAGCTAAGGGACAGCATCCAGGCCTAGAGTTCAAGCCCCACGACTGACCAAAATAATAACAATAATAATAGGCTGGCCACCTGTGGCTCACAGCTGTAATTCTACTCAGGAGTCTTGAGATCTGAGAATCACAGTTCAAAGCCAACCCAGACAGGAAAGCCCATGAGACTCATCTCCAATTAAGCACCCAAAAAGTGGTGCTGTGGCTCAAGAGGAATAGCACTAGTCTTGAGCAAAAAACAAAACAAAAACTCAGCACCCAGACCCTGAGTTCAAGCCCCAGGACCAGCAAACAATAATAACAGCAAAAATATAATAGAATATCAAGCATTAAGAATCCAAAGAATTACTATGGTTTGTAAAGAACTTATACTGTATAACAAACAATATTTAATGGCTATTTTTTAAGAACCCATGAACAGAATGTGTTTTGTTTTAATTCATTTCCCATTTATATACTGAGGCTTCAATTTCATACCTAAGTAACTGCATGAATTAAGGTGCTTCCTTCCTTCTTGAATAAACATGTATTAATTATAGACCAAAAGACTCAAGGAAAAATCCTCCCCATGGTACTTGCCAGTCTCTAGATAAAAAGAGACAGTGGTCATCTCACAGTCTCTTTTAATGTTTCATCAGCAATGCACCGGGGGGTGCGAATGTCATACGTTGGCAACTGCCTTTTATGTTTATTGACATTCAGGTTTAGGCATTCTCCTGATCCCATCAGCCCATCCCCACATGGCAAGTCCAATTGAATCTCACCCTTTGTCTTTATCTACATTGTTTCTTGGCTGGTTACCATCAATGCGGTGCTAATTTTTACTTCTCATGCACTGCCACTAACCAGTTGATATACCCTGTAGAGACGTAATTTTTGCCAGCTTCTGCTGGCTTTCAGTCGATAACTATCTGACAGCCACACTCGAACATCGATGGGAATATTTGCAGAACTCTAATGTTTCTAAATTGGTTTGCGATGAAGAAATCTGAGTAGTAACAACGACTGTGTGGCCAGTACCTTAAACCTGATGATAGACTTCAATCTTAAAACCTTGTTAGAGATTTAGATTGTGTCTGAGTAAAAGATTGATTGAGAATCCTAATTTGAATAAGCCACCAGTGAGAAAATCGAAGGTATTTCATGATAGAGCAGCATTACATTTTATGAAGGAAATTCTGCTAATTTTGTTAGTATAATTACCATTATGCTGTATTGTTTGTAGATGAATATTAAAATGCATGCATAGGCATGGAATAATAGGAGGTTCAATGTCTGCTTTGAGAAAAAAGTAAAAAGAGCTCAGAAAAAGCAAATATAGAAAAATCTGATTATTAAATTTGGATATTGAATATAAAGAAAATTATGCTGTTCTCTCAAGTTTTATACTTGAAATTACCCATAATAAAAATATAATTTCTCATAACCAATATATTTACGATGTAGCTTCAAGCCAGAAGCAACCTCAAAGATCGATTTCCTCCTCTTCTTCTCTCCCTTTCACAGATGAGGAACCAAGCTCAGAGAAGTTAATAGAAGGCCCAAGGTACACCAGCCCCCTGATTCCCAGCCCAGCTTGTTTTTGCTTGTATTTTTGTTTTTTGTTTTTGAGACAGTGTTGCTCTGTAGCTCATGTGGCCTTCCAATCTTCCTGCCTCTCTCCCCATGTGCTGGGATTACAGGTGTGTGCCACCATGCCTGTTTAGGGTATAATATGTTGTATGTTATTTCCTTTTGTTATATTTGTAAGTGTCGCTTGGACCTTATATTTTTTAAACCAGATTTGGGTAATCCTATTATGTACTATTTGAAGAATATTAGATCCTGATAATTATTTTTTAAATATACCAAGGTTACTAAATCCATATGCTGTTTCCATACTGATTTTAGAAGCAGTTCTAGTCTATGAGAAACTTATATTCAACAATTGATAGAACTGTTAAAGAAGGATTGCCCAACTCTATTTCCGCATAATGTTTGAGAGTTTTTCTAGGTATCTCTATATGGCCTTCTGGTCCTGAACAGTATTGGCAAATCAAGGTGTCTTAAAAAGACCATTGCTCAGTTCCAGTGTGGAAGGCTTTAATACAGGTACAGAAGCTCTGCATCCAGACACAAACAACATAGAACATTGTACAAACAACATATGTATGTGTGTTTCCTTCCCGAGGTGACCAAACCACCTATATTCTGAAAACCTCTTTCTCTCTTATCTTACTATAACTATACATGATAGCTTTCTGAGCCTAGTTGTGCACTCTTGTGCACACTATTGTGTGTACAAGTGGAAACTACCCTAGTACTTGTGATGGTGTTTATGAGCTACAGTCACCCAGAGAGGACTCGGCCTCCAGGGCAGCCGTTAGGTGATCATAAATCCTAGCTTGGGCCCTGTGGAAATGTTTATGATGGGCAGCCATGGCATCACCAGCTGCTGCAAGGTGATCAGAACACTAACCGACATTTGCTCATGGTTCCCTTTGTTTCCAGCATAATGCAATGCTCCTCGTCTTCATTTCCTTTCCTCCATATTAGTTTGTTTAGAAGACAAGCCAAGCTTAAGCTTAGAAGCATCAGCTAAGTTGTTTAAAAAGTGACAGTCTTCATAGACTTCATTACCATCATTGGGGTGGTTTTTTTTTTAATTTAAATTTCAATATGTTTCCATTCACTGCTGGAATTCTTAAAAATGTACCATTTTAGAAAATACTCATTTTCCTTTAAAAAATAAAGAGAGCTTAGTGGGTTTTAACCTACAAACTTGGTCATCTTTATGTAGACATATGGATCACTCTTGTGTGATTTCTCAGTTTTATACCTTTAAGTTTTATAACTTTTTTTTAGAAAAGACTTTTCACTTCAATATTTTAAAATTTTCCAGGATTGTTTTCTAGTACTTTATGGATTTCTTTTTGGATATATAGATCATTCAGAATTTATTTTGAACTAAAATGAAAGAATTTGTGTGTGTGTGTGTGTGTGTGTGTGTGTGTATAAAAGAGTGTATGTGTGTTTAGCCAGCCTAGTGGTTCATTATTATAAGCCTAGGAGGCTGAGATCTGGAAGGACTGTAGTTCAAGGCCAACGTAGGCAGAAACGTTTACTAGACTTTATTTCTATAGCAGATAACAAAAAGCAAGGCTGGAATTGATTTCAGATGGTAGAGTATTAGTCTAGCAAGTGGTGAAGTCCTAAGATCAAACCTTAGCAGTGTAAAAAAGAAAAAGCAGTTTTTTCTAGATGGCCTTACTAACCCTATTTGTTTAATAATCCATTATTATTTTTTAGTGATTGAAAGAACCATATAATCAGGAGTTTGTTTTTTTAATTAGTTACAAGCAATAGTGGACTCAAATGTATCAGTCACAGAGTTTTCAATTCATTTTCATATATGAGTGGGGAATTACTTGGTGTGCGGAAAAGAAAGTGATCATGTGTCCCGGGAGACCCTTTCCTCTCATTTGTGAGTCAGCCTCCAAACCCAGGAGTTCACAAGGCTGACAGGCTAAAGCACCTTCCCAGTTGCATTCCGCCTTGTTTTGTACTCCTCAGAGGGAAAAGCAGCAGCTGATGGGGCAGGCTCTGCCTGGAGAACAGTTCACATCATGGAATGAGGTTTCTTTCTGCCTTATGATAGCATCGCCAGCTTGACTGCACCTTAAATTATATTCTGATGTTCAAAGCCTGCCTTATGCCTCAGGTACACACCCCTTGACTATGCTTTGCTCGGTGAACGCCATGAAGTGATCCAGTTCATGTTGGAACACGGGGCCCTGTCCATCGCAGCCATACAAGACATTGCTGCCTTCAAAATCCAAGCTGTCTACAAAGGGTACAAAGTCCGGAAGGCTTTCCGAGACCGGAAGAACCTCCTCATGAAGCATGAGCAGCTGAGGAAAGATGCTGCCGCCAAGTAAGTGTGAGCTATGGACATTGTGTTCTTAAAGCTCAGTTAGGTGCAGGGAGGCGGGCGGGGGCATGGCCAGGAGAGAGTCAGACAAGAATGTAATTTCCTTTTGATCCTATGCCCATCCGCCTTCCCCATCCACCTACCACTGTCTGCAGAGCACTGGGCTGCAGTGAAGCATGACCCCACCTCTGGGGGCAGGGAGGGGAAGGGTATTTCCCAAGCTTAGTCCCTCACAAGCTAGGGTGGGATTGCGGCTTAGAGTACTGTGAAGAGATAATTCCTCTCTTCGCCCTTCTGGCCTTTTTGAAGGAAATTAATGTTGAAATCTACCCTACTTTTATTAAATGAATTTAAGTCTCATTTTGATTTGATTAAAGCAGCCAAATGTATAAATGTCTCTTCTCCACTTATTCCTTAATAAATCTGTATTAAGTACAGTTGCTTCTCTGGGTGTTCAGGAGATTCCTGCAGATAACAAGATCCAAAACTCTTGTATAAAATGGCAGGGGATCTGCATACAGCCTACACCTGTAACCATTGAGTTTAATCACCTATAGATTTAATTGTGAAACCTAGTACAATGTGAATGATATGTAAATAGTTGTTACTCTGCATTGTTTAGGGAATGATAACCTAAAAACCATCTGTACATGTTGAGCACAGATGAAAGGTTTGTTTTTTTCTGAATATCTCCTATTCATAGTTAGTTGAATTTGAGAATAAAGAACTTATATAGAAGGTCAACAATAAAGTACTTTATTCAAGAAATATTCAGGCTGGAGGTGTGGTTCAAATGGCAGTGCACCAGTCATGAATGAGCAGGCCTAGTGATCACAAGACCCAAGAAAAAGAAATAAAGAAAAAAGGAAGGAAGGAAGAAAAAAGAAGGGAGGGAGGAAGGAAATATTGACTTCTTACTATATGTACAAAGCCCTTGGTTAGAGCTTAAGAAGGAAATAGTTAACAAAAACAAAGGTATTTTTTTTTCTCCCTCACCACCATTTTCCTCCTTACCCAGCCAATTCTTCCCCAAGTGAAAATTTTAAATTGAGGATAAATTGACCTAATTTCATTTCATTTCTCAAAAGGAATTTCTGAAAGAGCTGAGTCAATATTTAATTTGGCTTTGAAAAATCATCATCAAGCTGCTGCTGCTGCATCTTCAATGAAGGTGGCCCAAGCCAGGCTTCTTGCCTTATAGCCACGTATTTTTCCATTCAATCACGTGAGGAGAACAGAACTTGCTTTCCTTAAAGGAAGCAACTTACTAAATTTGAAGGGAAGTGATAGAGAAATCGGGAGAGAGAAAATTGTGGACATATTTTCTAAGGCAGGTATTTCAGAAAGTACTACTTAAGAAATACCTATAATCCATTTAAAGGCACTTTATAACACAGTCTACACCACCTGTGTCGTTGCCAAAATGAACATTACTGTAATTTACCTGCCAAAGCACAGGGGGGAAGGCACACTATAATAAGACCATGTTTATGCTGATCACCCTTCTTCCCTGAAGCTTCCTTTTTCCTGGGTCTTCACTCTATTCTCAGATCTCTAACTCCTTGATTTTTCTTCCCCTATATATATATATATATTTTTTTTAAATTATAGTGTTTCCACATTGAAGTCAGCCTTACAGGTTATTTAGACTTCTGCTTGTGATATACTATTTTCCACAGGAAATGAATTTTATCTTATTTTTATGTTATTAAAGCAGAGTGTGGCAGTGCATACCTGTAATCCCAATGGCTCAGGAGGATCATTTTATCTCAGGTGTTCAAGAACAGCCAGGGTAATGCAGAAAGAACCTCCCCCCCCCAAAAAAAAAACCAATTCTTTAATTCGTTTATCGCTTAATCTCACATCCCGACTCTCTGAAACTCCAGGAACTGAACCCCATAGCTTCAGGTGCCCACTCGCTGTACTCAAGAGTTGCCCACTTTGCCATACTCGTCACTGGCCAACACTTGAAATCCTGTTTGCGTGCTCTGTCATCCCTATCCCTTCAAAGTCACCGTGGGAAGCTACAAGTCTGCCTCCCGCCTGACCTCTTTATTCCTTGTTAGTGCTGGTATCCTTGATTCTGCTTATCCCTCCTTTGAAATGTTTTGTTCTTGGGCTTTCAGTCACATGACTCTACAATCCATCCTTCTTTTTTAGCAGGGGAGGGGGTAAGCTTGAATTCAGGGCCTAGGCACGGGTCCCTGAGCTCTTTTTGGTCAAGCTCAAGACGTGCTTTGCTACTTTGAGCCACAGCTCCACTTCCATTTTCTGGTGGTTAATTGGAGATAATTTCATGGACTTTTTCTGTCAGGGCTGGCTTTGAAACATGCTTCTCAGATCTCAGCCTCCTGAGTAGCTAGGATTACAGGTGTGAGACTCTAGCACCTAGCTGAGCTGTCATTATTGACCTCCAGCTATGATGCTATGTAAGTACCTCCAGCATTCTGCGTCTGTTTATATTCCAAATTTCAGTTTTCCCTTCCACTCACACCTTGCCACACCCATGGTATCTCAGTCATCCTGAGCTTTCTTCACTTCCTAACTTACGATGCCTCGGCTTCTTTCCAACCAATATGAGATTGAGTTACATAATGAGGTCCAGTTTGGTCACTTAGCTGGAACTTTTGTGGTACTTAGGTCTCTTCTGTAAGTTGTTCTGTGTCCTCAAATATCAAAAGATAAGGAAGTCTGCCCCTTAGGACAGCACATTTGAAAGGTTTAAGAGATTTACTATGACCAAAGTTCTTGTCTCAAAGCTATTCCTTGAAGTCAAAGAGAAACATCTAAGTCCTATTCCAGAAACCATCTTTTAGAAGACATTCCCACCCCTACTGCAGAAACCCTTTTGGCTTTGTGATTGGTCCTACGGCAGCCTGCCCCCCTGAACTTCTCCAGTGTGTCAACATCTCTCTTTAGGGTTCACTTACATTTCCGACCCCTGAGGAATTCATTTCCACAGCTCTCCTTCATGCCATGCCCTTCTCAGAGCTTCCATTTCCCACAAGTAAAATGACAAGAAACGTTCTTTAATCTGAGATGCTCGAGTGCTGCATGAATGCTCTGAGACTCTGTAGCACTTCCTATGTCAGAAGCATATATTCTTTTTTGAGGAAAACGAGGGTATAGATATTTTTATCTCATTCTCAAAGGAGACCCTTAAGTCACAACAAGATTTTTTAAAAAACCAACTAAATGATCTCTAAGGTCCTTTGAGTTCTAACAGTCTATAAGTTAAAGGTTCTAAGACACACTACATTTTCTTATTCCCTTGAGAAATTAGAGACCTGGTATTATTCTGCTTGTTTCTCAAAGACAATGAAGAGATAAAATCTGACAGACTCCACAGATACCATGCAACAGTGAAAAGGTTACAGCTCAACCTTTTCTGTCTCATGAGCTTTCTCTCGCTTGAGGTTCTAACGGGTTGAATTGTCATCTCTACGGGATATTATCTAAGGAATTACTAAAAGTACATGAAGTGGTCTCTAAAATCTCTTCTAAGATAAAGATTCAGTGAGAGGTACATTGCAGGTCTTTGCTCTGGTTCTTTCTCTGCCTGGAATAACATCTTACCTCCCCCCTCACATTTTGACATTCTTCACAGGGAGTCTTTCTGTGTTTAATTAGTAGGTATCTCTAGTTTAGTATTGATCACATCTAGATCTCTATCTGCAGGAGTGTGTGGATCTGATTTTTCTACTTGTGAGTTCCTTGAGAGCAGGGTTTGGGTCTTATATGCCTTTGTGTCTCACTAGTTCAACTGATAAACATTCAGTAACTTCCCTTTAGTGGGTCTAAAATCTTACAGAAGCCATTTAGCACTCTCGGCCTTAGATCCCCACCTTTCAGACAGAAGCTTCGGATCTTAGTTCACTTATTGTGGCTTTGCTGTATCATGGGGTTGTGTTTTATTTTTTAAGTGTAAACAGTGATCCCTCACCTATCTCAGGAGTTACATTCCAGAGACCCCCGCTATAGGTGAAAATCTACGAAGTACCAGTAAAGTGGACCACAATATAGTGAGGTACGACTCTCTAACACTGCTATTTTGCGGATTTCTCCTATCGATAGCAGGGATCTCTAGAATGTAACTCCCATGATGAGTGAGGGATCTCTGTATTTGTTGTTTTAGTCTTTTTCCATCTTCACACTGTGAATCTCTGTAAGTGCACCACTGTCGCTTGTCTGCCCTTACAGACACATGCAACAGACACATTCACATATGCTCACACCGTATGCTGGCGCTTGCGTATTGGTGTGCTGTTTCCCAGCTCCCTGCATCTTGGTCATGACAGGCTTATAACAAGAAAGAGCAAAGAGGTGTGTCCTTGTATCCTTGAATATGAGACTATAATTTTCCTAACCTTTTAGACCCAAGCTGCTGACAAGTCTTACCCCTGCTGGGAAGAGCTCTGATATTCAATACAGCCCCATCTGTGTCACTTGGGCACTAGTGGAAAATGCCACCTGGAAATTTTAATGAAAAATATTATCAATTTTCTAAAACCTTTTGAGTATATCTGTGAACTCAGGCTGAATTATATGTCCTTGGTGACTGAATTGTTTCTACTTCTATTTATTTTGTTCTATCAAAATGAAAATTTGCCTCTTCCAAAGAAATCTCTAGAAGGGATCTTCATCACTCTCTGGCTGTCCTCATCACCTAGATGCCTGCGTCTCCTACTTGTCATATGGATGTCTTTACTGAAGGCCCAGGAGAGTCTTCAGTGACAAAGTTTGCCCAAGGAATGACTGCCTGGTGTCCTCTTAGAATTAAAGAGGAGTGCTGTTTGGCTTTGGTGGTGGTTGTTTAATGGTCTTGGGGCTCAAAGCTAGCTCACTACCACTTTGAGCCACAGCTCCACTTCCATTTTACTGGTGGTTAATTAGAGATAAGGGTTTCACAGACTTTCCTGCCCAAGCTGCTTCAAAACATGATCCTACGATCTCAGCCTCCTGAGTAGCTGTGATTACAGGTGTGAACCACCAGCATTGATCTCAGCTGTTTGGTTTTCTAACAGAAAGAAATGACTGTTCAGATAACAAAATCTAATGTATTGCCTTAGAGTCCCTCTTAATGACAGAGGTCCACGTAGATGCTAACTCAGGCAGCTGCCCACGTGTGTCTAAAGGGCCAGTACCATACTCCTAAAGCGGCTCTGTTCTCTTCTCTTTGTGCTGTATGAGAAGCGGCATTCCCTCTCAGTGCTCCCTCTGCCTGCCTGGAGCCAACTGCTAGGTCATTTAGCACTTCAGCCACCTGGTGCTTCCACCTCTCAAAAGCCTTCTCCCCACTGCATCATACTGAACACCGTCCACCTGGGGCCCGGGCACTGATGGCATGACCCTTGGGTATCACACAACTAGAGTCAAAAACAGTAGAACGCCAGGTAGTCCACATGTAATTCTTTATATAACCAGTAAGGCTTGCAGTGGCCTTTTCCCAATAAGTGGAGAAGCTGTTATGCCCAGTTGTATCCTATTATGCTTTGTAAGGGGGAAGAAAGGTTTTCAGGCAGTTCTAGGTATTCTACATGTGTATGGCACCCCCACACACCCACTTGGCAGTATCTCATCTCATATAGTAAAGTAGCCTGCTGCCTGTCATCTGTGTCTCCAAAGGGCAAAGGATGAGCTGTAAAGTGTTTTGTTTTGTTTTTCTCGTTGGCCCCATCCTCTTTAAGCTTTAAGGACTGATGTAAAAGGAGAAGGGTTTTTATTGGATCTGGAGAAAATATTTCTGGAAAGTGTGGATTTTTTTTTTTTTTGGTCTGTCGTGGGGCTTGAACTCTGGGCCTGGGCACTGTCCCTCAGCTCTTCAGCTCAGGACTAATGCTCTACCACTTCAGCCACTTCTGGTCTTCTGGTGGTTTATTGGAGATAAAGAGTCTCATGGACTTTCCTGCCCGGGCTGGCTTTGAACTGTGATCCTCAAATCTAAGCCTCTGCGTGATTACAAGTGTGAGCCATTGGCGCCCAGCTAAAGTGTGAATTTCAACATCTCTTCTGGTAGTGTTAGCCCCTCTTAAAATGTCAAGGACACTTGAGTAAGTGGTGATCTTCATTTTTTTTCCTCTTCCTTTGTTAACAGAAAACGGGAGGAAGAAAACAAGCGAAAGGAGGCAGAACAGCAGAAAGACTGGCTGAGCCCAGATTCTCACATACCCCAAGCCCTTCCCTGTCTACCTAGCCCCAGCAAGCAGCCTCCATCTAGACCCATGTCCCAGGGCCTGACGCCAAGAGACGGCAGTGGGTCTCCAGCTAGAACACCTCCAAAGGACCAACATGTTCCCTTAGATCTTCAGAAAACAGACTCCAGAAAGACAAATGGTAGGTGTGCTGATCAAAGTCTTGGACTACGCTCTTCTGGTTGGTGCAATTTGACTATTTACATTTAAAGCAATTATGTTAGGGCTTACATCTGCCATTTTTATGATTTGCTCTGCTATTTCTTTCCTTTGGTTTTCAGTCCTCTAGATGTCAAGTCCTCCATTCTTCTTTTCTTGCCTTTCTGTGGGTTACTTAGAACACTGCTTAGGAGCCCATCTTGACTGATTTATGTTTTGTTTATGTCATTCCCGAGGCTTCAACTCAGGCCTGGACACTATCCTTGAGATTTTTTGTTCAAGGCTAGTTAGCGCCCTACCACGTGAGCCACAGCTATACTTCCAGCTTTTTGGTGGTTAATTGGAGTTTATAGACTCAAAGAAATTGCTGTCCAGCTGGCTTTGAACCACAATCCTCAGATCTCAGTCTCTTGAATAGCTAGGATTACAGGAGCCACTAGAGTCCAGGTGATGTTCTTTTTTTTTTTTTTTCTGTTGGCCTATGCTTCAATAGTCTTTGCACTAGTTTCTACCTGCAAGGCCTCATTGCTATTCTTACTTGGAGACTAAAAAGTCAGATCTTTTTTGGTGGTACTGAGATCTGAACTCAGCCTTACACTTCCTCAGCCAAGTCTCTACCATGTGGGCCATACCTCCAGCCTGGATTTTTGCTAGTTATTTTAGAGATAGTCCGATGGGCTTCCCTGATTACAGGTGTGAGCTTCTGGTACCCAGCCACAATCAGATACTTAGTGAGGATACTTCACGACTACTCGCCTAACAGGAGCTAGGTTAGGTTAGGTTAGATATTCACTGATTAGATTTTCTGCTTTTTATTTGCTTTTGGCATCCAGCAATTTCCTACATTATCTGGAAGGCATGATGGTGCTCCCCAAGATGTTCATGATATTTTAGTCAACATTTCTAGGCACTGACAGAGTAAAAGCTTTTGGATTACCTAACCTATCACACTGCTAGGAAGAGAAGTTGAGCAGGTTTTCCTGGTCATAATTGCCACTATGATCATGGCAACAGGAAGTCTGAATACCTTATATTTTATACGAGCAAATGAGAATTATTACCTTACTCTGCAAGTTTTAGACAATAACTATCATTTCCTTTTTTCTTTTGTTTCCCCAAGAAACATCCAAGGAACATTCTAAAGGCTGCTCTGCCTGTGTCCATGTCAGAGCCAGAGAAGGCCATGGGGGAGAGCGGCGTCGGAGAGTCTCCTCTGTGGAGAGGTGCAGAGGTCAGACAGCTGGCGAGCAGTGGCGTGAGAAGAGGAAAGACATGGCGAAGGCACTTTCCCCCATCAGCACTGTCAGGGCGGCTGGGCCTGAAGAGAAAGGAAAGGACCCTAGTCATGCACCTACAAGCCTTTCCCAGGACAGCCACTGGAAGGCCAGCAGGCAGCAAGACTCAGCACCCAAGACCAGAAGTGTTCCCCAGAAAAAGTGCACTCAAGAGGTCAAAGGAAGGTGCTCCCCAGCCGGTGCCAGTCGGCCTGGCACAGCCAAACAGGAGATGGTTTGTTCGCGGCAGAGTCCTCGCCACCATCGCACACCAAAAAGCAAGGTTACACCAAAGCTTGTAGGAGAAATCTATTCAGACTTGCCCCAGAACACAGAGATGAGGTCAAAACCCAGAAAGCCAGGGACATCTGCTCTGTCTGAGGACATTCAGGAATCTAAGGAGACAGAGCCCACACCTGTGCACCTCTCTGCCCAGAGTGTGAATATTGACCTTCTCCCTGTCGAGCTCCGCCTGCAGATTATCCAGAGAGAAAGGTGCAGGAAAGAGCTGTTTCGGAGAAAGAACCAGGCGGCGACCATCATCCAGCGTGCCTGGAGAAGGTAGGCTGAGGAGATGCTACAGCCTTGGCACATCCTATGCCCGCTGGTGTGTTCCTGTGGTTAACTGTACAATAGTACAGTTTTTGCTACAATAGTTGCAAAACAAGGATGATTTGATGGAGCCTACCCATGAAATCTTACCTCTACCTGCTACTATTTTACAGTTACATGGAAGGTGTTTTTACCTAGGAAGATAGCATAGCATATATGCTAAGAGAAAATGTCTCCATTGTCAGTCTAACTGGTTACTTGACTTTGGGGAGATCACTTGGCTTCCCTCACCCTCAGTTTCCGCAGCTGTAAGACAGGACTTAACAACTTGATATGCCTCTCCTGTACTTAAATACACTGCTGGATGATCTGGTTTCATAAACTATAAAGCACTATACATCCTTCCATTTTCATATTTTGGTATATAAACCTGCTCACACAGATTTATATGGGTTAGGTGCTGGGAGTTGGGTTAGAGGCTATCCTAAAAGACTGGGATTGTGTCCTAGGTAAGGCAATCAGGTTCCTGCTGGAAGGACTGGAGCAGTCCTTTGCTACTTAATCACTGTAAGACCCTGGAGACTCACTTTAGTGACAGTGCCCGGCAAATGCTGGACCCATGCCGAGTCAGTTGCCTCCATGCCAAGGAGGGAGAATGATAGGGGATAAAGTAAGCCATGTGCTCAGATATGCCAAATATCAAGGCCTCTACCAGGAGAAGAAGAAAAACGAAATGTACTAAGAGAACACCAATGGTGTCAGGCAGAGCACAGCAACAAAGAATCTTGGGAGGACCTCACACTAAACCCTATATACTCTGGAGCCGGGTCATCTGGTTTGTGCTTGTCTATCCTCTGAAGAACATGCCCTGGTATTCAGCCCTAGCCACTACAAGGACATCATCAAAACAGGAGTCCCATGGTTTTGTTTTTTTTTGTTGGTTGTGGGGCCTGCACTCTGGGCCTTGGCACTGTCCCTCAGCTCTTCAGCTCAAGGCTAGCGCTCTACCACTTGAGCCACAGCACCACTTCCGGCTTTTTCTGCTTATGTGGTGCTGAGAAATCGAACCCAAGGCCTCATGCAAGCAAGGCAAGCACTCCTCCACTGAGCCACCTTCCCAGCCCCCAGTCCCATGGTTTTGGACAGGCGGACAATTCAGAGAAAACACTGGATCCAGCATTTGAACCTCCCACTGAAGGGCCTTTCTCTCACGCTCCTTATCCAAGAGTAGGCTAGGGAAGGGTGGTCTGGATAGTGCCCACAGGCTGAGGTAACTGCCAGAGCAGGAGGTACCATTATTCCCGTCATCAAATACCACGACTACAAATAGCATTTGTTGGGCTAGGCCTCACAATAACCCTGAGGAACAGGTACTATATTCTCCCCCCATGCAGGAGGACATTAATCAGCCACCACCATTAGCACCGGCTGGGGCAGGCACTGGCTCTAACACCACTGTGGGGAGTGGCCATTGCTCACAGATGTGAGAGTTTCTCCAGGGTATGCACTGGCTTCCCCGAAGAGGAACATTTTTAGTATTTTAGGCTGGAACCTGGATCTAAAAAAGCCAGAAAGGTTTACCTGATCTGGCCCCACAGCTGTGCCCTAACTGAATGTCTCCCTCAGATTGTCTGTTCTTGGACTCCTTTTGAAGAGACAGGAGCTGACAGATCCTGTCACTAAGTATCCAGAATCACAAATGAGCCTTCAGTCATTCCTCCCAACAACAGTGGGCTCACGTCCCAGGCACCCATCTGGGATGCAATTACGCAGGGCCCTCCAGCTGTACCACTGTGCAGTGGCGAGGCCAGAGGCCACTGACTCCCAAGGGGCTTGTGGGATGCCATGTTTGCCACACCTGGTGATATGGCATGATTAATCTTGCTGTATTTTAAGTACATTCTCCACTTGAACCACAGGAGCCCAAAGCACTGTCCTAGAACAGTATGTCTGACCCCCCTCCCCCAGCCTAAGGAATAGTGAGAAATGGGATATGGGGCAAAATTCAGAGCCCAGATTCAACACCCAGGTGCTCAGCAAAAGCTGGCCGTACAGGGGCTGGGAAGATGGCTCAGTGGTAGAGCGCTTGCCTTGCATGCCTGAGGCCCTGGGTTCGATTCCTCAGCACCACATAAGCAAAATGAAAAAAGCCGGAAGTGGCGCTGTGGCTCAAGTGGTAGAGCTCTAGCCTTGAGCTGAAGAGCTGAGGGACAGCACCCAGGCCCAGAGTTCAGGCCCCACGACTGGACCCAAAAAAAAAAAAAGCTGGCTGTACTAGCCTGTGCAGAGACAGCCATGAGCTATTTCCAATTAGCCACCAGAAAACTGGAAGTGGCACTGTGGCTCAAAGCGGTAGAGAGCTAGCCTTGAGCAAAAAGAGCTCAGGGACAGCACCCAGGCCCTGAGTTCAAGCCCCACAACTGAACCCCCCCCCCCAAAAAAAAGGCTGGCTTTATATGGGATATGCCAAGGATGACACAAGGCAGCTGCAGCTGAACCCTGGGCTTGAGAAACATGGAACAACCTTAAAATTGTGTTATCAGTCAAGACTTGACTACGTAAAAATTAAAGGCGGATACTGGACCAGCCAACCAGGATACCTGCTGTGTGAAACACTTTGTTGTTACTAAATGCAGTCCCCTTTCTGTAAGTTTTCCACATATTCTGAGATAAGCAGGGATATGTAAGAAGAACCCTGAGCTAAGGGTGAAAGCACTAAAAGAACATGCTAGAATTCTCCACAAAACAGGATTGTATGAGAATGGAGATTCTTTCTGTCCTGATGAGGATGCAGTCTCCACAAACAAGGTACTGCAATCATTCAATGGGTGATTGCCCATCAAAAGCTAAAGCTCCCAACAACTCCAGCCCATACCTGAACCTCCTAGTAAGTTCTCTATCATAAGCACAGAAAGCGGGGAAGTCGCTCAGCATGTCAAACAGGAAATAGTTGCAGAACAGCACTGTCCCACCACTCTAGCTTTTCTGGAAAGGTCGTCCAGCTGAAGAATGCTACAGCTTGTCATTCTCCAGGAAAGGAAGAAAGAATCATGTCCGTTGATTCCAGTCAGCCTTTGAGGAGGAGGGAGGGAGATTTTAGCAAACTCGGTTTGATGTATTCTGATGAGGGTACAGGCCTGTTGCTCCCTATAGCTCCCGTGGGTCGTCCAACAGTAGTTAATACAGCTACAGATAGAGAACAAGGACGCAGCTCTTCTTTAGAGGATTCAAAACAATGCTCCGTAACTTTGGGAGTGCCTATGGGATAAAACTCACACACTAGACTAAGGTATTGCTATCTTTCCCCTGGCCTTTGATTTCCCCATCCCAAACTCTTAACTCCCAGCAGAATAATCTCAGTAAAATGCAACATTTACCATGCCAGGCTTCTTAAATTCTTTTGTATGGTATAATACACCAAAGTCCTGAGCAATATTTGGCTGTTAGGCCAGATCACACTAGATTTTAGTAATGATTTCTCTTGGTTCTTGATATGTCACCCTACATAAGTCGCACAGTCTTTCTGAACCTCACATGGTCAGCCTCAAGGAGACTCAGTCATCGGGAGGCTTACTGGAACTCAGCAGGCCTTTGGTGTAGCCCCGCCTTGCATCTTCCTTCCCTCCCCAAATATAATCACAATGCATTACTTTCCCACATCTCTGCACACATCCATTCTGCTGCCTAAAATGCCTCTCTCCTGGGTTTCTTTTTTTTTTTTTTCATGAGGCCTGAACTCTGGGCCTGGGCACTGTCCCTCAGCTCTTCAGCTCAAGGCTAGCACTCAGTGCCACTTCCGGCTTTTTTCTTTTTGCTTATGTGGTGCTGAGGAATCGAACCCAGGGCCTCGAGCATGCAAGGCAAGCGCTCTACCACTGAGCCACCTTCCCAGCCCTCTGCCTGGGTTTCTTAAGCTGAGCACAATCCACAGCATCCTTGGAAAGTACACAGACCCTGTAGCCTTGCTGGTCTCACGCCTGTTCTGTACCATGTGCAGCACTTGGCACAATGCACTATTAGTTTCCACCTCAGCCTATCTCATTGTCTGTGTTCCTTGGGGGCCAGGACTCAACTGCTTCCTAGTTCAGAACTACTTCGTGATGGAGAAAAGAACATACAGCCTCCTAGGAATGAGAGCTTGAATGAACTTTCTAGTTCAATTAATGCTATTATAGCTTGTAGAAATCTGAAGAAATTTTGGTTTTCTCAGAATTGTGACCTTTTAAAATCCTCTATCCTCTGACCCTTCCAGGTACCAGCTCAGGAAGCACCTGTCACACCTTGTGCATATGAAACAGCTTGGAGGGAAAGACATGCTCCGATGGAAGCGAGTATGCACAGCATTGCTCATCCAAGCTTGGAGGAAGGAACTGGAACTGAAGCTCCCAAAGACCACCTCAGTACGCAGGATGCCCAAGAGCCTAGCCAAAAGCACCTCAGGCACAAAGCTTACCAAGCACTCAGTGCTGAAGCAAATCTATGGTAACTGTTCTCCCAGGCACTTCGCAGTTCACTAAAGTCCTGCCACATCTGAATCTGAAATAGGCAACCCTCCATTCAGAGTTAAAAGCCTTCCTTATTCAACTTCCAAGCACCAGGAGGATGTTCAGCACCCAACTTAATGCCTCCTTTTCATGAATTCTGGGTCTGAATTCGTTTCATGAGAAATCTAGCATCTCGGCCCAGAAAGCATTTTAGTAAAAAGTCAAGAGGTTCTTTGCTAGGTCCAAGACAGAGAGACAAGAGTTTCACAATTTAAACCCTGCAGACACCTGCTTGTGTGTCCTTATGTGGCCAACTATATATTTCAAGTCTCATTTTGACCTTTCCTCTGCTAAGACAGTATAGGGTTAATTACATATGATAGAGTCAGTCCATAACTCAGTACTACAGTAAGTACTTATTTAGCAGATAAATTGCTGCAAACTCAAGTATTTCCAGCTCTGAAAGAGCCTATCCACACACACACACAGGAAGGAGCCTATCCAAACACACACACACACAGGAAGGAGCGCACATACACACACACACACACACACAGGAAGGAGCCTATCCAAACACACACACACACAGGAAGGAGCCTATCCAAACACACACACACACAAGCCTTGTTAGTTCTCAAATAGAAAATAGCTGAGCCAGAGCACCTTTAGAAAGATCTGCAGTTCAGGGAGCAACATCCTTAGGACACAATCTCTGTGTCAACATGTTGAGGTCAAAGTTTCAGACTGGAGTATTTCAGCTTTATTGGATTAGCAATGACCAGGCAGTAAAGCCTTTGTGAAATCCAAAAAACTGAAAACATATCTGGTCCTAAGCATTTGAGGTAAGAGATATTCTGAAACCATACTTACACATTAGCTTAATTTATCTCAGCAGACACCTACCTGCAAGCCCAATGCCCACCCCAATAAGGAATCAAAACCTGGTTAGACTACAGCTGTCACTGGCTATATGGTAACTACTGTTGGTTGGTTTCAGGTTGTTCTCAAGAAGGGAAAGTCTATCATCCCACAAGGCCTTCAAAAGCCCCTCCTGTGCTGCAGCTGAATTCAGGTAAGAAAGTCATTGCTGCACCAGCAAGGCAGATGGAGAGAACATTGGGCTTTCCTTTTCTGAAAATAGATCAGAGATGGTCAGGGTTTCCCATGGCCATTTGTTTCTGTTTCAAGTATGCATGTTTTGTTTATGCTTTTTTTTGCTGGTTCTGGGGCTTGAACCTGACTTGTACGTTCTATAACTTGAACCAGTTTCACTTCTAGCTTTTTGTGGTTAACTGGAGTTTCATGGACATTTCTGCCCTGACTGGCTTTATACAATCTTCAGATCTGTCCTGAGGAGCTAGGATTATAGGCAAGAGCTACCAGTGTCTGGCACAAGTATGCATGTTTTTAATTCTCCTTTCATGGGATTACTGCAGTCAATATCTATCTCCATAAGAAGCAGTAACTTTTTTTTTAATGTTTTTTGTCTTTTCTTTTTTGGTACTGGGGATCGAACCCAGGACGTTGCACTTGCTAGGCAAGCGCTTTGCCACTGAGCTACATCCCAGCTCAGAAGCAGTAACTTTTTATTATCACTAAAAGCTATAGTTAACATTACCTCTAGAGAAACAAAAGATGGTGGATATTATTTACATGCTTGCTCACTTAAGAAAATGAAAAGGCTTTTTTCAAGGAATGTGTTAGGAATCCTTGTCTCATTTTGGTGATTGCTTACCAAACATGGAAGAGCACCATAAACAGAAAGCTGAGAGCACATTCTGCTCAGGCAAAAGCAGTACATAGCAGCTCAGGTCTGTCTCTCTTCAGCTATAAGACGTGTGAGTTTTACTCAGGGCCCCTTCTTTCATGCCAGCATTAAAAGTGGGTGATAAGTTCAGTGCTGTCAGCAGCTAATGCCAGGTCCAGTGCAGCTCACAGGTGGCTATGGCAACATGCTCCCCCACCCACCTTGATCCAGTCAACCTGCAGGAACGAGAGCAGCTGGGAAGATGAACAGTGACTGTCAGCATGAACTTTAACATTCAGTTTTTGATAAGGGGAAAACGTGGAGGTGGGGGGCAAAGGAGTTACTGCCAAATCTTTAATTAGAGTTGGGTAAGCTCATGTTACACAAGCAGGATGATCAGGGAGTGGTGATGAGACAGTTACAAACTTTCAAAGGAACTAGGCCCAAAATTCAATGTAAAAAGACCTAACTTATACTTGATTGAGAATATTTCAAAAACTGAATTGTCAGATGTAAACTAACAAAGAAGTGTCATTTAGATATCAGTATAAATCAGAAATCTGATCATTTTTCAGTCTGAAGGGAATAATCCAGAATCCTTAAAAATCAGGGTGTTTAGCAGCTCAAAAGGTTTTTAGGAAGAGGACACAGTAAATGAATTCAAAGAAATAATGTTTTCTTAGGACTTCACATGAGCAAGCATCACATTTCCTACACACATTTCTGACTGGCTTAAAATCTAAAAGTTCTTTTTTGGGGGTTAGGGAATTTCTGACTTGTGTTCTAGTTTTAGACATTTGTAGACATTTAAATATTCATGAACATTACTGCTTCCTCTCTCCAACATGGATAGATATCTTCCTATGACTTCAGAGTTCATCTACCCCCTTTCAAAATGTTGCTCTGCTTTCTGTCTTCTATACCCATCCCAAAGAAAAAGTCAACATAGGGGCTGAAGCTGGGCATCAGTGGCTCACTCTTATAGCTACTCAGGAGGCTGAAATATGAAGGTTGTGGTTGAAATCCAGCCCGGACAAGCAAGTCCCTGAGACTCTTTATTTCCAATTAACCACTAGAAAACCGGAAGTGGTGCTGTGGCTCCAGTGGTAGAGCACTAGCCCAGAGTTCAAGATCCATGACCAAAAAAAAAAAAAAGGGGGGGGGGCCTGGGAATGCAGGTTAGTGGTAGAGGGCTTGTCTAGCATGCATGAAGCCCTGGGTATGATTCCTCAGTACCACATAAACAGAAAAGGCCAGAAATGGCACTATGGCTAAAGTAGTAGAGTGCTAGCCTTGAGCAAAAGAAGCTCAGGGTCAGTGCCTAGGCCCTGAGCCTGAGATCATGCCCCAGGACTGCTTCACCCCCCCCCCCAAAAAAAAGTGCAGGCAGCCAAAAAGATGCCCAGATCCTAAAAGTAGTAGTTCATTTTAAAATCATGACAGAATAATTAAGGCATGTTGTTACTGTTTAAGACTTTTCAAACAGTTTAAAACTATTTTGAACAGAAAGTTAGGAGCTAATTTTAACAGTGTGGCTTCATCAAGGTCTCCTGGCTATGTGTGAGACCTCAATGTCCCCCTTGGCACTGTTTTGTTTGTTTTCCCATCAGTCACGGGGCTTGAACTCTGGGCCTGGGCGCTGTCCCTCAGCTCTTCAGCCCAAGGCTAGCACTCTACCACTTGAGCCACAGCACCACTTCTGGTTTTCTAGTGGATTATTGAAGATAAGAATCTCACGGGCTGCTCCTCGCAGCAAAGTCTCCACCCAGTACCTGCGTTACCTAGGCAACTGGGACACCTGGAAGAGGTCACATCTGCATCCGCTGAGGTCACATCTGAATTTGATGTGGCCACACCTTTCCCCACCCATACCCTAGATAAGGCCTAGCGAAGGCCCAGGCTCTCTCTCTCTGTTCTATTCTAGCTCACTCTGTTCTATTCTAGCTCTCTCTCTTCTATTCTAGCTCTCTCTCTGTTCGTTTCTAGCTCTCTCTGTTCTTTTCTTGCTCTCTCTGTTCTTTTCTAGCTCTTTTCTCTCTTTTGCCAGCCACGTGGAGTGCCAACCTTGCCTGGTCCCAGCAGGTCTACTGAATAAACCTACCCCTTACCTGAAAAAAAAAAGAATCTCACCGGCTGGACGGGCAGGACTGCTGGGGCTGGGGCTGGCTTTGAATGGGAGATCTCAGATCTCAACCTCCTGAGTAGCTAGGATTACAGGCGTGAGCCAATGGCGCCTGGAGGCACTGTTTTCTGACTCTAATATCCAAACGTTTTTCAAGGTCATTAAAACCCCTCACAAATCCAACTTAAGTTTGAGGTTCCTATCAGCCTGTCATCATCCTTCAGGCACTGCAGATTTGAAACAAACCTATTTTCTGGAGCAGACTATGGCAAAAAATGTTTCATACAGGGAAATTAAAAGATTTATATGAGGAAGTGGCACTGTGGCTCAAAGTGGTAGAACACTAGCCTTGAGCAAAGAGAGCTCAGGCACTGAGGTCAAGCTCCATGACTAACCAAAAAAATTTATATATGAGAGAGTCATGCAGATATAGTTCTTTAGTTATTTAGGCAGAATGAAATGAAGAAAAATACAAGGCTATTAAAGTCATTTAGCCTCTAAACTGTCTTCCTCACCTGCCTTGGCTCCAAAGAGCCCAAAACTAAATCCTTTTTATTCACTACCTAGGACTCTTCCCTTCAGCATTAAAATGAATAACCTGATTATCCATCTGGTATTGTTTTTAACAGTGAGCAACTTGCAGTGTATTCATCTGGAGAGCAGTAGAAAATCAAAGAACTTTTCCTATAACCTGCAATCGGCTACGCAATCAAAAAACAAACCAAAGCTTTGACTGCCTGTGGAGGAAGACTGGAAGCATCAGTACAAAAGCCTCATTTTCTATGAAATCTTTTGCATCTTGGCAAAGCTTTAGTATCCAAACCTAAAGCCTTACTACCCTGAAAATGTGCTAATAACTAGAAGAAAAGGTCGGCCCGACTCCTCTGCTTTTACACAGTACTGTTTCTAAATCATCTCAGCGGCACTGAAAGGACTGGAGTAGACTGTGCTCGTGGTTGGGTGCTTTCACCTCAGTCAGTATGCCTGGGAATGAGAACTGGTAATGAATGGTAACATAAAACTAAGAACATGAGCACTCAAGGAGTGGTGGGCTTTCTGACAGTAAGCTGGCAGAGACTTGGTTTGCTGGCTCAAGTGATAAACCTAAATGCGAGAAGCAGCCACCTTCATCTCATTCCCTCCCTGGAATGGACCAACATCGCGAGAGACGCCATATTTTACGCTGCTACTGGAACCTTATCAGCTTAAATTCTGGACAAAAACCATGAGCAGTGTTTCCATTTAGAAACTGTAAGACCATAAGTACATTCCTTTGATTCCTTAGGTTTTCCAGTTCCTGTGTTAGTCACAGGTCACAGCCATGTCCTCTCTGTATAGTATTCTTCCTGCTCAGAACAGCCGTGTCATATCAAAGTCAGTAAGGTAGGGTCTGTACTCACAAAGCAAGGTGCCAAGGCAGGCTCAACATCCTCCTGTGTTTCCTGACCACTTGCAGAGATGAGAGGTCTCAAAATGCCATTCCTACTGGCAGGGAACACTACACACATTTTAGCACTGAAAGAAAGCCTGGTTTAAATAAAACAGGCTTTTTACACTTTCCTAAGGGTGAGGCGGCTGCTATAGGAATAGACAAAAAAGCACAAACAGCAATATCAAGATCACACATTTTTTACTTCCACATGCCATTCCTATGGCTAACACCAAAAGGCAGGAAGCAATAAAATATTTGCAAATGTTAACTGCCTTCACTTTTAAGTTTAATAGTAATATTGAAAATATGAAAATACTGCAAGGCTTAGCTTGATGGAATCATGAAGATTCAGCTATTTGTTGGTATATAAGATAAGGTACCGTAGAACCATTCAATATTTTGTAAATATATCACTCCTATGAAATGTAAAATGCACTGACACCAGTAACCATGTATCTATATTAGTCCAGAACAGCCTGAGCTTTAGTAGGTATTCCCAAGTGTTATATCCCCACTTCCATGCAAAAGAAGGTCCATGAAGAACTTTTTGTAAGTTTAGCTTTAATGACAAACATCTACTACATCAGTCCCTCTTCAAAATAAGATAGATTATGAATAAACAGTTTCCAATAAGTAACACAGTGCCTTATCAATACACTGCACTCAATGCATTGGGGCCCTGGGGATGCCCAGTGATGTACACGCTGAAGCAGTAATGCAGATCTGTGAGCCACTGCTCCTGAACACTGCCACTCTTCAAGGTCTGTGGAGAAAGACAAATAATTTAAAAATTGTACCAAAATTGTACTGTCATGTGACAGTAGTTTTCACATCTACCCACTTTTCAAAGCCCAAACAACAGTATCCCAATGTATAAACCACTGCTCAGAAAGGGAAGACTGCTCAGAACAAGAGAACTATTAATCAGGAATTGCCACAATGAAATTTCCCTGTTATATGTGTAAGTGTGGCTTGTTTCTTGTCAGACTTTTCCTTCCTACATGTAACTGAAATTTCCAACATTCCTACATCTCTGGTCCCTTCTCCTTGGCATTCTAGTAATTCATGACCTTCACATAAACATCAACTGAGAATAATTCTACAAGGCCCACTAACAATTCTGTTAATGTCTTATCTAGGCAAATTCTTCAATCTGGCAAAAATAATCCAAGATTATACTTTTCTTCCCTTTTACTTTTTTTTTTTGTTTTTGTTTGTTTTTGTTGGTCATGGGACTTGAACTCTGGGCTTGGGCGCTGTCCCTCAGCTCTTCAGCTCAAGGCTAACGCTCTACCGCTTGAGCTACAATGCCACTTCCGGTTTTCTAGCCTCCTGAGTAGCTAGGATTACAGGCATAAGCCACCAGGGCACAGCTCCTTTTACTGTTTTTGAATTATTCCACTACCATTGTCCACTACACTGGAAATGCAGAATAGCACCTATGTGATATGTATATAAAGACTACTGCTGCAAAGTACATATTTCAATGAATGAATCCCTCAACATCTATACAAAACATTTATCTCCCAACCAAAACCACCAAAGAATCTTAGACAACCAAAGTTAACATTCTAGATAGTCAAATAGTCCTAGCAAATGCAGAGAGCCACCCAGCAGGCAAAGCTGAAACCCAAACTTCTGATGTCTCACTGTCCACTGAAGCAATTAGGAATTATCTGGAAGTTAGTCCTGTTAATTTTTTTTCCTTAATGACAGAATTTAGGTGGCACTTAATAAATGTCAGGTACGCTATAATTTCATTTAATGGTTCCTAAACCCCAAAGGCATGCAAAAATGGCACTATTTCCATTTTTACAGAGGAAAACAAGTTTGGATACATAAAAGGAGAGAGAGGGGAACTGCCAAACTATCACAGTTAATCAACAGAATCTGACCACAGTCCAGATAGGAATAATGCTGCTACATATACCTTTTACCAGTGTCTGGTACTACCTTTATGTTGTTTTGAGAATTTTAAGGGTTTTTAAAAACTTGGTCAGGTGCTGAACAGCAGGGGAAGCACTGAGAAGTCACCAAGCTGGGCTGAAGCCAGTCCATTCACACCCTCTCAACAGCAGGCTCCCCTCAGCCTTCCCATGAACCCATTCCTCCGTATAAAGCACTTAGCCCCTGCTTCTTACCGTGATATTCTTAATGATCTGCTGCACCAGCACAGCATTGTTTAACATTTGAGTCCTGAGGGGTGCGTGCTGAAGCAAAAGACGAAGCATCTGCCCTACAACATGCAGCTCCTCAGGCCCAACTCTGTTCACCCGCAGGCTCTGCAGCATCAATTTGAGCACTCCAGGAACGAGAGCCAGGATGGAGACACAGACTCCCCACAGTTTATCCCTATAATAACAGAGACCAAAAGTTAATGAAGTGACACACACTGGATAAGGATCCTTTCTACATCCCCCAAACTAAACCTTTTATAACACGTCTCCTAATAAAGTATCATAAAACATAGTAAGAATGGGTTTCATCAGAACTAAAGGAAATCCAATGCTCTCTTCCCCATTTCATGGATTCCAGGAAGCCTAACAACTAGCACTTTCCAGGGGGTTGCAAAACATTCTTAAAACCCTAGTGATCACAGGTAACACAGAGGTAGCCAGAAAACACAATGATACACAGCCTTGTTATCCAGGATTGGATACTATATTATACAACATAAAAGGTATCAAAAGAATAGGAATATCCAACTGGTTAAAAAAATTCATAAAAACTTAAGCTCATGACCTGGTTTCTGAACTCTTAATGGCTTAAAGCAAATCTCCAAAGAGAAAAACACCAAGGACCCAAACAAATTTCAGGAAGTAGCTAATAAGGAATTATGTCTGCAATACTTGGTCTTAATAGTCCAGAAAGAACAAATCTAAAAAAAGACATTCTCTTGGGAGTCTCTATAGAGGAGTAAACAATGTTTATATGGCAGAGAAAGGTAAATTTGACACTTGCCAAACAACCTCATTCTACAAGAGTATTAATCAAATGGAGCAATAGCCATCTGGATGGAGGAGAGTCCAAAAGCTGCTAAAGGCTCCCATCTTAATCTGTTGCAGTTTCTGTACTATGAGCATACAGCAAGCCCAAATTTTTCTAAAAGAACCTGATTACCCAAGTCTAGAATCTAGACTGAGTAGCCCTTTTACACAGTGACCAACTTCTCTGGCTCCACCTACAGTAAAATACCATGAGGTGAATAAACAAATTCATTCTGGACCAAGTAGAATTTTTTTTTTTTTTTGGTTCAGTCGTGGGGCTTGAACTTTGGGTTTAAGTGTGCTGTCCCTGAGCTCTTCAGCTCAAGGCTAGTGCTCTACCACTTGAGCCACAGTGCTACTTCTAGTTTTCTGGTGGTTAACTAGAGATAAAGAGTCTTCAGGACTTTCCTCCCCAGGCTGGTTTTAAACCGTGATCCTCAGATCTTGGCCTCCTGAGTCACTAGGATTACAGGCATGAGCCACCATACCTGGCTTAGACTATTCTTTTTTAAGGGTCTTTATTCTGTTGACGGAAACAGAGGCAGACTCAGAATAGCCATGAAGGGAGAAAAGAGAAAGGAAGGCTTGCAGACCTAGTTAAATTGAGGCAAAGGCATATATACTATTTAATCTTGGTGGAAAGGAAAAGAATAGGCTAATTTGGATCCTGTTGGATTTCTAATATGTATCTCTTGGGATTTTACAAAGTACTTCTATAATGGTCCAATATACAGTAGATGTGACATTTAATACATTTGATGACTTTGTCACTAGGCAATTTTGTGGTTCTCCAAACATCCATAGTGCATTTACACAAACCTAAGGGTATGGAACCATCACTGGGCACTGCCTCTTGATGGATCATGAGACACAGTAAACAAGAAAGGTATGAGGGGGCTGGGAAGGTGGCTCAGTGGTAGAACGCTTGCCTTGCATGCATAAGGCCCTGAGTTCAATTCCTCAGCCGGAAGTGGGGCTGAGGCTCAAGAGGCAAAGCGCTAGTCTACAGCTGAAGAGCTGAGGGACAGCGCCCAGGCCCAGCGTTCAGGCCCCACGACCGGACCC